GGGGGGGGGGGGGTTATACGGAGAGGAACGAAGAAGGAATCGAATTTCCATAGAAAAGATTCGCATTTACGACACCGCGTCACTTCGGCCTACATATAGCGATTTTTCATATATTTTACTATATTACGTACTTCGTCAGGGCTGAGAGAGAGAACACAGTTAACTAAAGAACACAGACACACACACACACACACACACACACGTACACAAAAGAGGAAAAATGAAAAAAAGAAGTATGTATATCTTATACATATACACATATATACATGAATAGCGTATAAGCGTAATACTTTATGTTACATGTATACAACCGTGTTGACGGAGTATAGTGATTCTTAAATAAGAGCCCGGGTGGGAACCCCGGGATCCCCGTCGAGCGTCGTGTCCTCCTTCGATTTCGAGTTCGATGGCGGTCCCGACACCGCGCTCGCCACGAAAAGTGTTTTGTAATTGTGACGGGGTGGACGGATTCTTTAAAAAACAAAAGCAAATAAAAGATTTTTAATGACTGCAACGAAGATAATCGCGACGGTTCTTTTTGCCTTCTTTCCCGTAATTATCGCGATACCCAGCGAACAGATATAACTACCTGCATATAACATCTCTAATAGCATTTTCTGCAGAATAATTAATTGCAACGGATTTCAGCAGTCTGCTGCAAGATTCATGAACAGCACATGCAAATTATACTATTTGCAGATATTTGCTGCAAAAAAATCGTGCTAGCTAGCAGATTTTTAATACCGTAATTGCAATCTGTAAACATCACTCTGTCAGCAGACTGACATAAGATTCATTCAGCAGAAGTGTGGTGATTCACTAGATTCTGATGAAAGAATATGCTATATTGAATTCGAAATCAAAATACATTTTTTATACGTGCTTATACGCACTTTTAGGGATATACGTGAAGATCCTTGAGTTCCACCATGTTGAGTGTGAGAATTATTTTCTAACACTCCCACCGTTCGCGTACTTGACTTGATATTATACTTAATTTATTTCGCAAACGTATAAATTAATCTTTTGAAAAAATTGTAGCAAACGTGTAAAACACTCTTTTGAAAAAAAAAAATTATTTTCTTTCGAAGCGAATCGTCTAAACTATAAGAGATGGAAAAAAATGTTTAAATAAAAATCGTCAAGAAATCGTTTCATTATATATTATGTCAAGTCTAGATACGGCAGATATGAACCTAATGTTTCACGAGGCAGGATACACTTTTGTTCAAATTATTTTTTTCACGCACGCACGTAGACAGACACACTGTGTATATATGCGGACATATTTGACGCGAAATACTATCTACTATGGCCCATATTCTGATATGCACTATCAGCATTGAAAATCTATATACATAATGCGAATTATAGATTTTCAGTACTGGCAGTGTATCGAAACGGTCTACGTCTCTTAAAATGTATTTTAAAAACGGGAGATATATGGATGCAACTAGTATTGGCAATCAGAAGGAAAGATTTATTTGCTAATCATTTGTATTTCACAGTATCATGAATAAGAAGAAGTTACAAGAGGTGTCAAGAAGCCCAAAAGAGTTACAGTTACAAATAATTATGGTATCGGTCGATATTGTGTGAATCATTGAGAAATTACTTACATAAATACTGCAATACTGAAACACAAATGCTTCCTTGTGTCGATCTTTTATCAGTCTTTAAAAAAAAATTCCATAATTAAAAATGCCGAAACGAAACGCAGCTTCTACTCTCGCGCTTGTACTTATACGTATCTTCCTTTCTCTACTTGAATTATAGACAATTCATAATTAAAATATCACAATTTCACTTCCGTTTACTTGTCTAACGTGAACACTTTGGCACTTCCGTTCTTTATTACTTTCCGACTTGAATACAACCTTACAGGTGCAGCCGAATTTTATCTTTTTTTTTTTACATACATATGTATATCTACATGATGTAATAAAGTATAAGTTGGCATAAGTTCTTCTTTGATTTCTATTCACATTCTGATAAATGCGAAGAAAATTTTTTCCTTCCCCGAACATTTGATAAAAAGCCAATTGCTTGTCCATCAGTCTTTCCAATTTTAAAATCGATCCTTTTAATCAGTTTCAATAAAATTTTACACAAAATCGAATGTGAAAAAACAATTCTTTTGTTATCTTTGCACTTGTATTACCAAAAAATGTTATGGCAAATGTAAATAAGAAAAACGATTTGACAGAGTGAGAGTCACGTAATATCGCTGCGTTGCATAAATGCATACATATACGTATCTACAAATCTCGAAATTAAAATTATAAATTATATAAAATTGTAATGGAATAAACTTTTGGATATTTATATCGCGCAATCATGTAGTCGTCGATAATGGTAACGTTCTCCAATTATCCCCGGGAGTGTCGGGTCAACTCGCACTCATAAAAATTCACCCACGGCTGCAGCGGGTCCTTAATACCGGTGCCATAGGCAACTTATATATATCAACAATTATATTACTATAATTTATTATACAATTCCTGACCGTATTATTAGATGTACATCATATTTTTTACAATTTATTAACTTTTAAGAATCAAATTTATTATATTATGATCCAATTATTATTATTACTGTAATTGATTGAAACAAAATCATTGTCTAAAATGAATACATTTGTTTTAATTCACTTTTTATAATGTCTATGAAAAATTATGATTGCACAGGCTCTCTACAACAAAAAGCAAAGTGCACATATTTTCTGTCCCTATTATAGAAATTTGTTTTTTTGTCATAAAGTGAATTTTAATTTAAACATTACTTAATATTATTCAAATAAAATTAATAGCCAGCAGTAATGGCTTGACAAAATATTAAAAAACATATTTTATTTTATAAATATTAGATGAATATTAAGAAAACTGTATTTTTATTAACTAAGAATGTCCAAATCAAAAGGAAAAGTCAATTATTTTCATTTTTATATACTTTAGATATGTAGAAATAAGTCATTTTCGGCTCAAGAGGAATCTATCAAAAGATCCGTGCGTCTAATTCGGTCAGGGACTGTATACTATATAACAAAAACTTCAAAAACACATTTTCTTTTTAGAGATTTTATGAAAGAAAGAGTTTTATGTCTTGTTTTTTTATAACTATCCTAATATCATATACATATACAGATATGAGATTATTCTACTTTTTACAATAAAGATCTATCATTAAGATCTGTATAACCCTTTGCGTGAAACATAATAATATTTCTTGTTTGGCAGGTAAAATGAGTTCAGAAAGATACTTGTCATGGTAACATAGCGCAACAACGATGATTATGATGGTAACGATGATGATGACGATAACGGTTGACCATACCTGATGCAAAGACTCGCGATGTTTCATTACGAATTTTCCCACTGTTTTCCGTTTCTTGATGCGTTTCAGGCTACGAGAATTCGCTCACAGTTAAAATCTCATGTTATCCCCTCCGTTATCTAACGTTGTGATAATGACAACGACAATGATGACGATTATGATGATAATTACGATGAACGCTATAGAGAATGTCCCAAAAACTGGCAGTTTCTCTCAGATGTTGTAAAGAGTAGAGAAGCTGAGAACTTTGGAAGACTTAAGCTGCTACCGTGCCAAAGAATGAAAAGATTTGCATAACTCTCAGAGCCGTTCTTACATCGTGTTGAATATTTACGTAACAAGCCTGATTATTTTCACCTTGAATGCCTTGAATCATGACATGGCGCAAAAATGACACTAATTTACAAATGCTTTTTTTTCTCTTTATTACTTTGAACGGAATTATGTGTTTCTCATCAGATTTTTGGATGCTAAAAACAATGCCGCAAACCAAATTTCTCCAGCAGGTTTCTAAGATAATTGAGATTTAAAGCTATGTATTCATGGTATCTAAAAAAAATGTCTAAAAAATGGCTTTTTCAGCGATATTTGACATTTTTTTTGTAAAGAAGGTTAACACTTTCTTGAAATTTCGCATTTTTTCGCATTTGCAAAAAAATGCATTTTATAGGAGATGAACAATTTATGACTTTTGATCAGAATTTTAAGATAACGTTAACCTTCTTTACAAAAAAAGTTAAATATCGTGAAAAAAAGCTATTTTTTTTATTAAACATTAAATCTCAATTATCTTAGAAACTTGAGGTATTGAAATTTTTTTACTTGCGGCATCGTTTTCAGTATTCAAAAATTTTCGAGAAACACCTAGTCCGATTCAAAATACTTTTTTGCTGTAAACTAGTGTTATCAATACGCTGACATTTAACCAACGGTCTTATCCGAAAGGAGAAGCGCGATAACTCTGGGACACTCTGTATAGGTAAAATTCTTTTTTTATAGTTATATAACATATACGTACTATACGTGTTTTGTGTGTGTATTTTGTGTGTGCGTGTATAATTTTATTTGCGCACTTGAACATTTTCCTTTATTTTTTTTTCTTTTTTTCGTAATACTTAATTTTCGTCCGAAGATCCGCTAGAACTTTCTGGCATAGTGTTGAACCAATTTTCACGAGCCCCGGTAATCCTGGACATAAAGACACTTTAAAGATTCATTTAGCGAAATTTCTCATGTAATAAATTATCAGAATAAATCAGTTGACAGAAAAATAAATATACAAGCAAATAAAAATATTAAATATAAGAAATATAAATATAAATAAAAAGTTTTTCGTAGCTCTTAACTCTTCTTAAAGATATCAGATATGTCTAACCTTGTACGTTGGCGTGTACTTGTCGGCAGTGTAAGTGAAGTTCTATAATACTGTGGTGTGGCACTTGAAGCTGCTTCGTCCGGCCTTCTGTGCAACGTCATGGTTTCGTGAAGAGATGTAACGAGCTCGTCCTCGTTGTCCAAGTAGTAACGGGAACCGGTCGCGCTCTTACAGTTCTCGCATTCGCTCCGATAATCGTCCGTGTCGTCGTGCAAAGTGGGTAACGCTTGCATGCTGCAGGTACACGTCACCGACTCGAAACTGCCACTCGCATTGATCTCGTTCGCTACGCTTAGCGAAGGCTGCAGCAAAGAACAAAAAACGATCTCGTGATTAGTCATGTAAATGTCTTCATGTAAAAACGATTTATTTGTCATGATGAATTATATATTTCTATACCGTGTACTCGCGAGTCCGCTCGGATACATTAGCCGTATCCGCGGTGTACGTGTCCAACTGCCCTAGCCCGGACGCCGACGCCACCGGAGCTGTCGACGAACCCGTGTAAAACGCGTCCGAGTCTTTGGTGCTTTTGTAAGTATCCGAGGTCGTGACCGCGGCTGCGGATAACTGCATGGGACGCGAGAGGCTCTGAGACGCCGCGATGCTGCTCGGTGACAAGCGGAGATAGTCTCTCGCCGAGCAATCGGTCAGGACGTCCTTAGCTCTGCCGGTGACGCAAGTCAACGTTCGCGGGATCGTGCGATGGGAGGACACGTCCGAATTCGACAGAGTCGCCGATATCGTGAACGCGCCACTGCCGCTGCCGCTGCCGCCACCGCCGCCGCCGCCGCCGCCGCTCTGACGCGGGAACATCGTCGTGTGCTGACGATAGCTCTTAGGTATGGTAGAATGCGATATCGGTAGTAGCGGCTGCGTACTGGTGCTGGTCATCGCGGAGTGCTGGCTGTCGTGGTTGAAACTCGTCATAGCGACCGACGCGACCGGTAGATTCTCGTACGTATTCGTCTCCATTGTGAAACTCGTGGTGGAAGTGCTCGTGTTCAGACCGACGGTGGACGACGCGCTGCTCTGGCTTATTGGCCGATAACCGCCAGCGTACGTACTGGGACTGGACAGCGGTCTGCTGGACGACGACATCAAGGGTGTATGTATGTTGCTGTCATTGATGGTTGACGCTTGCGTGTTCGCGGTCAAGTCGTTTTGCGTGTCCGCGACAACCGCGACGCTTGCGTGATTGTTGCCGTTCGGCATGTAGTTGTCCGAGAAGTTCATCGACAGCAACGTGTGCGGGTTCATCGATAGCAACGCCTGTTCCGCCCTCGCAGCCGCGATAGCCTCCTCATAGGGCGGCGGTGCCTCGCCACGCGGGAAGTAATTGCTGCCAGGTGGTTTCCATAATGAGTAACCTGTCCCGCAAGGTATGTCGTCCATGGGGACCCCGTGAGGTAATCCGCCTCTCTCCAAGTATCCCATATTACCTAAGCTTCTTTGGTCCTCTCCAAGTTGTCTATTTTCTCGACCTGCCACACAAACTAGTGCACAACATATATACATTTTTATATTGCCATTTATTTGTAAAGAGAGCGCGTGCCTAGCTACAGAGTGCGGTCCATTTATTTTTGAGACAAAAATCACGCAAGATAAAGAACATGCCGAGAAAATATTTTGAATATTTTTTTATTTAAAATAGGAGCCTTTTTACAATCAATACATTGTTCTAATTTTTGTTTTCACTCTTTATCGTTAAATATTCTTCTTGTGATCGTCTATAATCTTTTGGACAGTAACTGGAACCTAATCTTTGACTTTTTAACTAGTTTAACAGTTTTGGAAATGAGAAATAGTTAAAAGAAGATGATGAAATCGTGAGTTGATTAAATGAGATAAGATTACAATATCTTTTTTTGAGCCATTCCGATGATATTCCAGAAATTCAGGTCGCTGTGACCGATCAGGAATCAAAGACAATTAAATAGAGGAGTGTTTAACAGCAATGCAAAAATCGAAAATAAGAGCAGCGATATATTGATTGTAGAGAATTTTATTTTAAATAAAGAAAATGTTTAAAGTATTTTCCTTACGTGTTCTTTATTTTATTTTTCTCTCAAAATTCATGGATCGCACGATATTTGTATGTAGAATTATATAACGATACATGCATCATTATTTCTCACGGAGAAATTGTTAAAAATCTTTTATTGTTAATCTCTCTTCACAGATTCAAAACAGTCCCGTGTGACGGAAGCGTCACATTTACCTTGTATCTTACGCTGGCGTAGACGGTGTATCAGAAAGAATAACAGACTCAGTGAAAATATTGCTGTCACGAAACTGGCGACCGATCGCAGCCCAATATCGTAATTCGCGTTTCCGTCTATCGCGTTAGTTCCCGCTTCGTCGGCCTTGTCGTTAGACATCGGTGACAGAGTGTCGTCCAGGCAAATGAACTCGCAGCAGGTATTACCTCGCCGGAAAGACTTGCAATTCTCCTATTGTGCAAAAAGTAAACTTGTCATATAAATCTTCAACTGCCATTTCTTCACGTTGTCGAGCAATTCCCATTTGGCTATTCAATTGCAAATCTAAATGCTGATCACACGGTATTTAAAACGCAATGAGATCTACTCGATTATCAGACTGTGGACTGTTACGTACCTCGAGAAATTTGCAAATGAATGCTTTACACCACTTTGGATTGCCATTATCACAAACGCAGAAGGTACACGGTTCGGGTCCCGGGATATAATGATAGCCGCTTTCGTAAGAGTGCCCATGCTGGTCTTTGCAAGCAACTCCACCTTCTGCATGTACTATAAATATTAATGCACACTTATTACCGAGAAAAAGAAAAAAAGAGAAGTGAAATGTAAAAAAAAGTACAAAAATAAGTTCTTTTTTTTAACAGAACAATCGTTTTATTAATGACTTTATACGCATTTCTTTTATCTACGGCATCTACGCTATTAAGACTCTACTTTTTTTCTATTTTGCTAATTATACAAATCAAATTGTAATTCAATTGCCAATTCAGCTCCGTTTTGCGCGGCATGAAGCTCGATCATTTCGCCTCGTGTCAACGTTCAAACTCAATTAGAGTCCCCGTACGCGACACAATTTAGATTCAGTTCCGACTTAATTTGCGGAGTTTAAATGCAGCCCCCGGTATCTGAGAATACATATACCGTATGTATATGCAGCGGGGACGCACACACGCACTTAACGAGTTTCACACGCGCAGCTTGTGCGCGCGCGGACGCGCGTGTGCACTTTTATGCACAACGGCGTTCTATATAGAACCTGCCCCATTTCTTTTCCCCCTGACAGCTCTCGAGCGTTCGACTTTCAACAAGCGCGAGGCGCGACACACGCGCGGGGGGAGGAGGGAGGAGCAAGGGGGGAGAGCACAATACATGCGGCACTCGCGGTAGCGGGCGCGATGACGGCGGTTTCCTCTTGCGCGGTAATCGATGGCGCTACAAAAATAAAAAAATAAAAAAAAAAGACGCGACGAGGGAGAACCGCGGGCGGGAGTCGCGGGGACTCGCCTCCCTCGCGCGCGTGTCGTGTCATGCGTGGCAAATGAACTCACCCTTGAGGCGAGTGAGGGTGAAGGTGAGGACCGCGTAACCGAATAGGTTACCGCTGCTGCTGCGTCTCATTCTGCATCTGTTATCTCGTCATAGCTCCGGCGTGTCGTCTCCGGGGACGTCGTCCGCCCGCGAGATCTGTTTCCTCCCTGACCACCACCTCCTCGTCGGCGGTGGGGCGATCCTCTCTCGGTCGCGGGACGTCGCACAGCGGGACTGTCGTGTCGTCGCGTGTCGACGATCACCGTCGCATCTCGACAATCCGCGAGGAGATGCTCAGTACTGAGCCAGTGGCAGCGAGCCTGGCTGGGAAACGAGACACGGGTTCACGGCGCGGCGGGGAGATTCGCGCGCGCACTCGCCTCGCCGCCTGGCAACTAACATAACTCCTCGCGGTCGCGCACCGTTTGACGTTTAATCGTATTGCGTGCGGGAGTTAACGTGCGTGCGATAACACGCGCCGCGCGCCGATCCCGCTCGCTGACTCGCGGTCCGCGTTCCTCCCGCGATTGACTCCCCGTTCGAGGTCGTCCCCCCAACGAGCGATCGTGCACGTACGATCCTGAATCCGCGGTTCCACGGCACCGACTCCCCCCGGAATGATCGATTAACAAACGGACGGACCGCCGTCGCCGCCGCCGCCGCGAGGCCCGCGAGCGAAATGTCACGGCGACTGTCGCACCATCTTCAGGTATGTCGAAACATCTGCAGTCGATGAAACGATCGGTCTCAATGAAATCCACTTTACCTACGCGGATACATGAAATTGAGCAGAGACTGTGTTTTATCGACCTCGTACAAATTCATGGCCGCGACCTTTTAAATTCAATCATCGATGTCAGGATTGTGCATGTACGCGTAAAATATAATACTTACTCTACGTTTACGTGTAAACAACGTAAACTATTGTATTAAGTGTCATCCATGTGAACAGTCAATAGACTATATTTATTCACTGAATAAATATACGTATATAATTTAACGTTTGTGTAAAAAATAACTACCATTTGAGTGAGAAAAATTCTCTGGTTACATTCTTAATCTTAATCTCGTAGTTAAATTAATGTTCAAAATACATCAAGGATATCCTAAAGATGTGATATATTTAGCCTGTTCCTAGACATACATTTTGTACATTTCCTTACTGTACTGAGTACAGAGACTGCTTTATAATTTAATTTTATATTGTATATATTACTGATACAATTTACAATAGTCTACATAGTTTACAAGTCTACAAATTGTCTAAATAGCAAAAAAAAAACCATGTAAAAACATCATGTATAGATTTCACGTAAATAATCCGTGTAGACGTAATCTTGAAATCTACGGCACAATCCCCTGATCGATATATCGTTTGACCGTTTTTTTCTTTTGTCGAAGCATGTGTAGAAATTTAAGTCTTTTATTTAGACGTCATGGAACCAACCATTAAAGGAACGTTTCATTCCTGCTGATAAATTATCAAGTAGAGTATTTTCAAATTATTTACCAATTATACAAGATGCAGAATACCGAACGTGCAGTTCTTTAGCAATCTCGAATAAACCTTCAAACGGAATAACCAAGTATATAATGTCGTCGTTCGATAGAGGATCAAAAACTACTGAAAAAAAATTTTTTGAATCTATCTAGAGTTTGCGCGTGAACGTATAAACCATGGCCGCAAACGATAACGAGACTGCAGCTATCGTAAAAACGAAAATCATCAAGAGCGAACAGGACGAGGAATTCGAAGAGTATCCGTGTTCAAAAAAGAAGTCACGCTCGAAGATGTTAACTACGAAAGTAAATGAAATATGTATACATTTCGAAATAATGAAATGTTCTGTTCGGTTTTTAATTTTGGAGTTAAATAATTAAAAACAGTTTAAATTTAACTTAAATTTGGGTTAAATTCCATTATTTTATTGAAAAATAAGTATTTATTAGGTAGGAGCAGTAGCGACTTAAATAAAGTTCAGTTTGACACTATATAAATTTAACAGAGTGTATTAGTAGATGACTAAATAATGGCAAGTATCTAAACCGTTATCATTGCAGTTGATAACGGCCGTTAATTCAAATATAACAATTTTGGTTTCCTCACTTTGCAAAATCTGTATTTGACTATACTCAATTGGGGGACTTAATTCTAGCTACTACTAATTACTTTACACAGCGTGATAAACCGCAAATTTTTGTGGAAACCGCATCGCCCCGGATCGCGGAGTTAGCACGGCCAACGAAACAGCATGTCCTGAACACACTGTACGAAAAGGCAACGGCGTTGCCGCCGGCGTTCGTGGATAATCTCGTCAAAATCATCGAAGCCGAGTCCTGCTTAACTCCGGAGTAACGTATCGTACCCTCAAATCGATGTTTCACGCGCGACGATATGCATTGGACGCGGTCTTCTCTCCGCGCGACGTTCAACTCGCTGCAGAGATTTAATTAATTTTGATCCAAACAAAAATTCCATTTGATCCCCCGTAGGAAAGCCACGTGGATTCGTCGTCAAAGGGAACGTAGAATAAAGAAGGCGGCACGACTTCCGCTCGTGGAAAAGCGGACTGCTGCAGAAAAGATCACGGACGATGTCGCGCGCGCAACGACGCTGGATCGCGACGCGACGATGTACCAGTATCTGTTGGCGGAACGTTTCGTCAAGAGTATTTTGGAATATCGGCGCGAGATGCGGGAGAACATCCGTACTGATATCGCGGACGTGATAATGAAGCGTTTAATGTCCCTCAACGGATACGCAAACGTCAAAAACGGCGACCGTGCGACGCAACAATTGCGACTTTTAGCGGACGTGATAACGTGTTGGTTCGTTGATATAAGTGACGAAGTCGAGAAGACCAAAACAAAAATTTTTAAGAAGCATGATGAGAAAAGATTGATGAGAACGTTGGAGGTGAACAAGGTTACCGAAGAAGTAACGTTGGAGGTGAACAAGGTTACTGAAGAAGTAGCAAAAAGTTCGGAAGAAAATAGAATAGAAGAACCGCCTACATGACACGTCGGTAATTAACGCGATAATTAAGTCAATTTAGAGAAAGAAAATAAACAGGAGAGGAAAACTAAGGCAATCAAATAAAGAAAGAGAAAAATAATCCGAAAAAGAAAAAAAAGAGCAAAAGAGAGAATAAAGTAGACGAAGCGAAAAAGCTACGAGAAAAGAGAGAATTTAGATGACGAAAAAACGAAAAGTGAGAAATAAAATGGTCGAAAAAAAGAAAAAGAAGAACGAGAACTTAATTCTCGGAATTTCAGCTCAATTAATTTTTTTTACGGATTTCTCTTGATAATAAACTTCAATGACCCAACGGAAACAAATTTCGAAAAATTCATATTCCAATTCTCGTCTATTCGGATATATTTCGATAACTTCAACTTCCAGCTCTAGATAATTTTCGTTAATTTTCGTGCATTCGATACAAAAGTAAAATTATCTTAAAGAGTAGAATTAATTAAGCATCTCATCCAGTTACAATAGATGAAATCTCCGTCTGTAATCTCGATAAGAAATAAATTGTATGCGAAAATTGTATTACGACGAAGTCATCGTGACATGATCAATTCGTCTGGGATAGATAAATTAATCCGTTATCTGATACTCGAGCCATTAATTGTCACGCTGCAAATTAAATGATATTATTCAATTCAACGTAAAATCATCTTCGATCGAACGTTTGCAATCGTTGCAATGACGTCAGTGTTTAAATTTATTTGCGGAATTTCCAGATACGCGGCAGCTTGCTGTAAAATTGATAACGATTCAGACAGACTCGATTGTGCCAATACATATATATTACATTTATACGTGTAATTTTATATAATTATTTATAAATATATGAAAACAATAATAATACATGTAATCTATATTTTGTTGTAATGTTATATGTGTATTATATATAATGTTAAATTAGTATAGATTATTTATATAAATCTAAATATTTTGCTTGGTTTTTAATATAAACATTTGTGTGAATAATCGTCTTCCCTCAGTGCGATCGCACGATGTTAGATTATCGCTCACAAATTCTTGAGATAAAATATCAACGGTCCGATCATGTTAGTAATCCCCCCCTGCAAACAGCTACCAAAAAGCCCTGAATTATAAAAGCTTGTACTCTCTCTTCTCTCTACACGTGTCCTCCTTGGATCTGGGCAATATCTTATCGGAACTCACCGGTTTAAAGACCTCGTTAAATTGCCACTCGAGTTTCTGCGTCGCGCGATTAAGGCAATCAGTAACGTGTCGTTTTTTTCTATTGCAACAATAAAAAGCTACAACTATATATTATATTGACGATTGTTCGGAGTGAATGGTTTTCCGCGTAAAATATTATACGTACATTCCTCGCATTTCCTCTTCGGTCGACGTGGCTCAATGTGATGACACCGTGTCAAAAATCACGTTTTGCATACGCGGCATGGCGCGAGAGACTTCAGTGAAATTATCGAGAGAAGAATAACCGAAAGAATTATCGAGAGGTCACGTACTCATGCATACACGTACATATGCTCGCGTTGATACTCTCATTAAAAATTTCCGCGATCTTTTCGTTCGCTGAGCCAGCAAATCCAATCAGTTTACAGAGTCTCTCTTCTGTAACGTAGCAAAAAAATGATGTGCACGAGATAAGCATATGTCTATCTACAGGAAAGAAGAGAAAGTGGGAGGAAAACTCGTTCCCCCCTCCCCCCCTCTCGAGAGAAGTTTGGCAGGGACCATTCGTTAAATCTTTCTTACGATCGAATAAAAAATACCAAATGTTTTATGTCGATTCCATATTAGATGCAATATTTCCGAATATTTAATTCAATATTGTTAAAAATGGAAGAATTGCTCTACATTCCTCACATACGTTTGCTATACTTAATTTATACGCACAGAATTTGCAAAAGTACTGACGATTAACGGGACAATAAATATAGTACACCTGTGGAACTGTACATATTAAGCTTATATTTTATTACGTTTATTATTTGTTTGATCATGATTCAATTGACAATAATAATAATAATTACAATATTAATATAATGATAAGAGTAATAATAAAAAATTAATTTTCTTCGGTTCTTATGACAGCTGCCTCAATGCCGCAAAGTTCCTAGCAATTCTACAGAGTTATGTTTCAGTGCGGATATTTCAAAGGTTGCATTTGTGTGCCTCGTATGTGTTTGCACACATGTCAATTCTTTACACGTTAATTCTCTATAATTCTTTTTCTTTAATAGCACTTCAAAATATTCAAGAAAAAAAAGAGAAATTAAAAAATACGTTGCCCCAAATAATATCCCCAAAACCTTTTAAGAGATGATTCACCTATCTCGAATATTCCAAACTAAATCGTAGAACATTTATCGCTCTCTACGTATGGCCATCTCATTCGTTTAACATATACAGAAAAGCGTGACAAATCTTTCTATTGTCAAATCACGTTTTCTCCATTTCTGTGTATAATCCATGTCGGAACAAATTATAGCTTCGTCCTATGTTAAATGCATATGATTTATATAATGCATATTGAAAAAGTGCAGAAGAATAATGAGCAAGACGATTTTTATGAGCAGCTTTTTTCTGAAATATCGACTTTTGTAGTTGGAAGTATTATGTGGAAGCTATAACACGCTCCATCACACGGATGACATACATGGAGATACGTATGCCACGTAAATATCTACTATATCTTCATGCATTATGCGCGGTAGAAGTACCTGACATTCACGAATATTAATCTTCAATAGTAATGTCAGAAGAGCCACTTTTAGCATTATACTTAGTTCATAGTTCTTAATTATTAAAATAAATGTATTTTTTAAATAAAAGCAAAGAAATTATTTCAAAGCACTGTCTGAGAGGAAAAAATAGACTGTACGTCAAACTATCTTAAAATCAATACATATCTAGATACATTTCTGTCTGAAATTGTATTATGTAAAATTTAAAATTTTTAAAAGAAAAATTATATGTAATTATTAAAAATAATGTTGCACGTTTGCTATTTTTTCATTAAAAAGAAATAAAATTGTTTTACCACAACAATTGAATGCGCAACAATTGTTTTTTTTTTCTTTTGAAATGCGTATTTCCGAACCATTTGTGAAAGTAATCAGGTCAATTTAGTGGCGTCTCGACATACTCGAAGATAAAATGTGACGGAGCATTAGGAGTGTCCGTTAATATTTCAGGCGGTGCTAACTCTATTGGATGAGCGTCCCTCCACGGATCGATATCGTTACCTCCAATATCTAGTCCCAGTCGCAAACTAGCTGGTGTATTATCAATAACAAAGTGATCTTCAGTCAAAGGCAGAGCATCCTTCAGTAAAAGCCTGTAAGGAATCAATGTAAAATATCAATGTAAAATTATTTCATTCTTTATTAAAAAGCAAAGAATATATTCATCAACGGAGAGTATTCATAATTCGATTTTCTTACCAAATGTCCTCGTCGGCGACAATGTGGACCTTAGGAATGGGAAAACCGTTGAATGGAGACGCAACGGGCAGGGTGTAGGCTCCCATATTTTCGAAAATCATCCATTCCCCAAGTTCCATGTCGTGCAGCATGATATTCTCAACGATTTTGTCCAGCCCGTCACACGTCGGGCCCCATACGCTCGAGGCAATCAGCTTTCCACAACCGTTTTTCAGAGGTACGGGAGTCACGTGCTGGTGATCGTACAGCAGACAATTGAATGACCCGTAAACGCCATCGTTGATATAATACATATTGTGCGTAACAGCGTTGGAATTTTCATCTCCGCGTATAGAACGTTTACTGTGAATGCCCGTTGCCAATGTGAAAGCAGATGCAACATAAAAGCGGCCCGGTTCAGCGATCACGTGGACAGCATCGGCTGGAAAAAAAAATTTCTCTCATAAAATACGGTCTAAAACAAAGTGTGCGTGCATATAACTAACGAGAAGAATGGCAACTTACTGTTGAAGAATTCATCGAGAGCTTTGTTGATGACCTCGGCGATTTTGTCGATGCTCGTGCCCTTGTTGCCCGGATAACCGCCACCAAGGTCCAAGAGGTACGGCTTAAAACCAAGATCGGTAGCCAGATCGAACAGTATCTTGCAATGGTGAATAGCGCGATGAAACACCGGTGGGTCTTGACATCCGGAACCAACGTGAAAACTGAAGCCCGTCACGTTGAGGCCCAAGTTGTACGCGAGGCGCAGGAGATTGGGAGCCTCGTGTATCGGATCACAGCCGAATTTCATGCCGAGCGGGCACTGGGACATTTCCGCGTCGCAACGAATTCGCAAAACAATTTTGGCCGTTGGAAAGAGTTTCTTAATTTTGTGCAGCTCGCTTTCGTTGTCTACGGTCATCGTATCCACGCTGACTGCAGCAGCGTGCCGAATGTGCGAAGCTGGCTTGGCCGGATTGGCAAAAATAATTCTCGAAGGGTCTACACCGAGGCTTAACACTTTGTTTATCTCATTCTGCAAAGTAAAAATATTTTTTTTTTCAACAAAATGTTAATGTGCATCTCTCTCTCTCTTTCTTTCTTCACAATAAAAGATACATATATTTAATTATATTTACCTTAGATGCGCAATCAAAATTGATGCCGAGGGCCGCTAATACCTCAATTACAATCAAATTGTCGTTACATTTCACGGCTGGAAACAAAGAACTTCTATGAGCAACTCTACATACGCCATATACGAAATAAATTCCAAATGTTAATGACTCACCGTAATAGGGTTCGACTCGTGGCAATTTTTGTTTCCAGATTTGATGCTTTTGCACAATGTCTCCTATATCCAATACGTAGAAAGCTTCTTCTTGCAAACCGCTCATTGCGATGTTTTTGATAACGGTCATAACGTTGGACTCGTTGTCCAAAACGTGAATACGTTCGTCTAGATTTGTTACCTTCATGTTGAGAGAGTTTGATTGAATTAATTAGTACTCTGTAGATGCTAGGCAGCAAACTGAAAATCAAACAAAAGTGTTATTAGACGATAGGTATAAGCGTAGAAATGTCAATATCAACTCTCTATTCTGCATGTTGCAAACTTTATTATTAATAATTTTAGCGTAAACGAAAAACATACGAGGCAGCTGTCAATGCTAATAGGGTGAGTCGTGAGGAGGCGGATTAAGACAAGATCACTGTGGGGGTGCTAGCAAAGCCACGGGGGCTCTGCATTCAGGGCCAACTTCCAGTTGCCGCAGTTATTCAAGCACCCACGAACAGACTGGTCGACCAGTCTATCGCAGATAGAACCCTGCAAAGAAAAAAAAATTTCCGAATTAGCTAATTATAAGATTTATCGTATGAAAAATATCAATACTATCTCGTTTAATTTGTAAAAAAGGATGTAAGTGTAAATGCGTAAAGAAATTTAAAGCTCCATTAAGAGAAGAAAGAGAAAACAGCTGTTTAAATACATGTTCATAAATTATCATAGGACACGCTAAAATAATTTTATCATATATTGAACAGAACTTTATCTTATCTTTTATCTTAATTTTATCAAAAGTTAATCAAATCCGATATTTTTTGTGTGACGTTAAAACGATATTTGAATCACAGGAAAAAATGTTATTATTACGTTTTTAATTAAATTTGTCCATTCTTCTTTTATATATATGTCTCGATAAATAAATAAATAAATATATATATATATATATATATATATATATATATATACACACATCTATTTCTGTTCTCGCTGCAGTTATATATATTATGTATGTTAACGTGATAATCACATCAGACTTGTGACGAAATATATAATTAAATCCTACCTGAAGCGAAGTAATTCTCGTTTCTTTTATATACACAGCAGAAAAATTAATGATGTCACTGTTGTAGAAGTGGTAACGTCTCTAAGTTTTAGCGACCCTCTATCGCGTCTCATATGTGTACAAAGCAAAAGTAAAATAAAACTATTTCACCGATTATTTGAATAACGCGTTAATATTCACGTTATATATTCATGCGTAAGAAACGTTCAATGAGATCCGAACAGAAAGGAAATCGGAACGATACTGCACTCGAGACTACTATTTGGGCCATTATTTATATGAGGAAGATAAGTAGTATCAGCCCGCCTTTGCGTGGTGTACCAAGTCTACTTATACAAAATTATCTGACAGCCAAGATTGTTCAGGAAACCGAATTAGACTGGAAGGATAATATAAATGTTACTCAAGAGTCAAACTCCATTCGGGGGGTGGGAAATACCGTCACTAATCTACGCAACTTGTGATTGATTGTTGATCCAAAGTGCCATATCAAAGATTGACATATCACATATCAAAGTAATATCCTTAATAGCTAAAAATAACACGAAATTTCTTCAAAAGAAAGTGAATAATATTGTCATTAAATAATACAAGAAAAACTTAAATGATACATTTGATTTCTCAGATAAATATTTTATGACACTACGTGATATAATGTGCAGAAGCGTCTTTTACTGAAAACTTTAATTTGAGTATAAAATACACGATCAAAATAAGTTTTAAATATTAAATTATAAATTTCTCTTTTGAAATATTGTTTTGTGCGATGCTAAAAACTTCCTTTCGTACGTGTGCCCATAAAACAAACAGTAATAACTTAAATTTTTGCTTCCTGATGCAAAAACGAGTAACAATATTCAATTGTGTATGAAAGTCTTTTACAATTGAGATTGACAATTTCTTGTTTCATCAAACAGGCTCACATACAAAGGAGAGTTCTTACATAACATAACAATGGCTTCCGCCGGTTTGAAGAGGAAATACTGGTCTGAGTAAGATAGTGCAAGATATGAGTAAGAAATACGGCTATACTGGCCATTCTGCAGACATTGATGTTAAAACACGTGGTGCGAAACGAGCGAGAGAATTTGAAAAACATCATCGTCTTATCATCGGTTATTAAGATTAAAAGTTTTCACATATACGTTTTAACTTTAATAACGATTAGTTGTCGAAAAAATATACATAAAAATTATATTATAAAATATGAGATAAAATTAATTAAATTGATCTCTTACATCCAAGATTTGCTCTTTATTTTATCGTCGAGCGGAAATGCAAGCATATACCTAAAAAGAGTTAAAAATCTCTAAATTTATATAAATGTATAATAAACTTTTTATTTTTAGTAATTGGAACATTTTGAAATCATTGCAATTTTGAAGTTTATCTAAACTAGAAACATTTGATAGTTTGAAAAACATTGCTTACAAAATTGAAACGTTATATAAATACAATATTCAAGAGTAATTTATAAATTAAAAAAAAATACGTTCTGAGAAATGTAGACGATTACAGGACTGCTTATATTTTCAACAATGCAAAATCCTTCTGAATTTTTTCATGTGCACAGCGATTAAAAAAAAAAATTAAAAAGAAATGTATATCCTTGCAAAAACCAATACTTATCTGATACCATTGACAACAAAATATATTTCTTATACATATAGATTTTATTTTAAAATTTTAATTTAAAATAGACTTTGAATATAATCTTACAATTAGTAAAATAACGACTCCATATTGCCTGCATTGTTAAAGAACGATTTCTTTACGATATAGCTTATCTTTGCACTCTTCTCTTCACCAAATTCAACCATTCGAAGTCAATTAAACGTATCTAAGCTGTTAAGCTGCTAAGTATGATAAGCAGGTCTATTGTGTATCTTGAAATGAGGTAAAAATTACAAGAGCAAATAAATTCCTTAGAACATACATTGTACGTTCTAAAATAAATTCATTCATTTTAGGCTGACTAATAAAATTATAAATTTTTTAGCAAATTTGCTTACTTTTAGAATTTTTATCCCATTTCAAGACACATAATTAATCCCCAGATTAAAAATTATAATTAAATAATCTTAAAGAACATACTGGAAAAAAAAGTAAAATAAAATTTCCATGTGATCCTCGATATTACAAGGAACCTTATTGTCTTATTGCCCCTATTATAAAAGGAAGAAAGTATCAACCGAGTAAATCTTTGTAAGCTTTGACTGATACACCTGTGATATCCATATGTATGTTTTTTCTTGTATTTATCAATATTTTCTTAACCAGAGTTTAATCGATGTATTGTATTTTCGTAAATACTAACACATAAGTATAGATTCTAAACATAAAGCATGTAACAATACTTTAAACAAAACAAATTCTAAGACAATCATTAGTAACCATTCAAATTTTTAGTTTTTCATAAATGTGTAAAGTATACAATACATACTTTATATAATATTTATACACTTCACATCAATATGCTTCAACAGGTAAACCTATACAACATGCGCATACTTTTGAAAACCGGTAATATAAACCAATAAAACGTTATCAAGCGATATAGATAAAAGAACCGAGGGATATTGAACGAGTAATTTTCTTCGTTTCAAAGCGAGACATACATATATTAAAGTGACTCCGAGAATCAGCGGGAGGAGGGCAGGGGGAAGGGGAGTGTCAGTTAACTTTAAAACGTCATTTAATCAGTGAACTTCGAACTGAGGACGAGCTGAGTAAACAGAAACCGACCGATTTCACCAGGGCTCGACCTGCCTATCATTATGCAATTATCGCGGGGGTCCCTTCTCGGATAAGTTGGGAAGCACGCGAAGAAAGCGAAGGCAAAAAAAATCCTCTACATGCGTCATCGTCCGCGAGGGACGATGCAGATTTCCACGTGATCGATGGTCATGTTCTATTCCCTCGTCCTCCTTGCTCCGCACCTCCCCGCCCGGCGGGGTGGTGCGGTGACCGCCGATGGATGGGGTTTCGGCGAGGAGTTCGCGTGTACGAGCGTGTATATATGTATATGTATACCTTATCGGACGATCGCCACCCTGCGGGTCGGCACACGGTTATTGGCGGAATGGTGGAAGTTTTCGGTGACCGGATCGCAAAAATCAGTCAGATCGATCGTCGGGCGTGGATCGGCGAGCCGCCGCCGTAATCCACCGTTGTCGTCGTCGTCGTCGTCGTCGTTGACGTCGTTGACGTCGTTGTCGTCCTCGTAGCCGCTTGCAGCCGCCGCCGCCACCCGGTCGTCGTCGAGATCAAGCGCAAACGATATTCTGTACGGCGTGTTCGATAACGTACATACGTTTCGTTTGCCACGCGAGCGAGGAAACCGTCCTACCCGCCACGTGCGAGCATCGCAACCGTCGGGTCTACCTTGGAAGTCCGGCCGATCGTAGCCGTCGCCCCCCTGCTAACACCCGCGACTCTGTCTCGTGGCAACGAGAAAAAATCTGGATCGGCGACAACCGCACGGAACGAGACCCGTAACCGCCAAGCACGCCACCACTCACCAGCCACCGCAAGACTCAAGAGAGCCGCCCGCGCACTCGGAAAAGGACCAGTATGGATCAGGCGTGTGTTCGCGAATGGAGTGGACAGGGCTCGCGCATGCGCGATCGTCGCGCGGCGCGTCACTCCCGTGGGGAATTCACGACGGAATTCCGACCAATAGCGGACTCCGCCTTCTAGGGGTCTTTCGGGGCCTGTCGGCAGAGAGGATCGGAATCCTAGGGATTTCAGTCGTAGTTCCTACATTCGAGAACGTCTCTCATTCGAGGAATCGAATGAGGAATCGATCTTGCGATTTCGACCAATCGTTTTATTGGCCTCTGAAGCTCTGGGCATACGTCAGTGGTTTGTGCGTGATCGTTTCACATAACCTCAGCATGTACGTGCTGAACAGTAAGTTATTAATAGATAACTGATGTAACAGATTGATCTGTCAGTCGAATCGAAAGATCAGATTGTTATCTACGTTATCTATGGTAGTGCCATGTGCAATCTGGCGACGATCGCTCCCTTCCGAGAATGAAATTTCTCACTGATACACATGTATCGTTTCAGGAAATTTTACGGCTCACGTGCGGCGGACTACAAGTTTACGGGGCTGCACATAGCGGCCGTAAAGCGTTTACCGCGAGACGGTCCCTAATACATGTACTAGGAAAAATATTTAGAAAAAACAGAATTGTTAGAATGAGATTTACACCAACGAAATTAATAAAACTTGCGTTTTATACTTGACATCTCTACTATGCATGCAGCCCTCGTGCAGTCCTCGCTTAAATTCAACATGCTGCACGCCGCAACCGTCACGAAGTCACAATTGACGCGACTCTACTCGACGAAGCGCGGGGGTAGCTCCAAACCGAACCACTATGACACGTTGAGGATCTCGCCGCGCGCCACCCAGAACGAGGTGAAGTCTGCGTACTACAAGTTGACACTCCAGTTTCACCCGGACAAGAACGACAGCGAGTACGCCAAGCAGAAGTTCCAGGACATCTCGGAGGCGTACGAGGTGCTCGGCAATCACGAGCAGCGTAAGATCTACGATCGGGGTGTACTGCTGCGCCAGCAACCGGTGTCGACCGCCGCCACCGCCGCTGAGGAGCCCACGTCCCGCTACAGGGACAACGTTTACTCGGGGTCGTCGAAGATATATAATTTCGATGCGTGGACGCAGGCGCATTACGGGCAGCAGATGGATGCGGAGCGCAAGAGAAGACGGGCGTACGAGGATTTCAAGAGGATGAAGGAGGAGAAAAGTCAACAGAAGGATAATCCTCAGTACATGGAATTTGCCGTGCTCCTGTTCACCATAACGATGATCGCTACACTTTTTCGGGAGAAGACCGACGTGCCGGTGTCCGAGAGACGCAAGATGGAAAGTAAAGACAATCAAAATTAGCCCATGTTTATTTATTTTAATAGTATAAATTTGTTCGTATATAATGAAATGTACAAATTTTATTTTTACCGTTTATCGTTGCGCCTACTAAAAAAAAGAACAATATTACAAATAGATCGTGATGAAGAATAACGAGATCGAATCGTATAGTATATTCCTTAAAAAAAAATCTGCTACGTACTATGTTAGAGAAAAAGTGATTGTGTTATTAACAGCACGCAGTTAACGCGTCAACTGCGTTCGTGCGTATACGAATATATAGACGTCTAAATATTTTATAAACGGAGTATAGACAATATTTCAGAAATATCAGGCGTTTTGAAACGTTGTCCATCATCCAACAGGTAAATAACGAAGGATCTAGGATAAATGTAATAATGTACAGTTCCTATGCTGCATGACATATATATTATGCAACATATCGTCTAGTGTAAAAATAGTGAAAAAAAATCAATGTGCAAAAGGCATGTGCATAATACGTATGGAGCATCAACCGGTCCGATATCTCGCGCCGCGTATCGTAGAAACAAATAAATATACACATTAACTTCTCACACATTAATACGGTCTATAAGCTGGCAATCCTGGCAATGGCATCGGCATAGCTATCGGTCCGGTCGGATACGGTATGGAGGGCGCTATTCCAGGGAAGTTCGAGGCGATTGGGTAGCCAGGGGTGCTGTTCGAATGCCCTTTCCTTATCAACTCTCGCAGCTTGTCCACCTTCACTTTGCGTAGGTGCATTAATTTTCTTCGCGACAGAAACTGATCCAGGAACTCGTCTACCTCGATATCACCGGCCAAAAATTTCTCCGCTACCCCCTGTAGATTGGAGAGATAAGGTAGTTTTTATTGGAGTTGGGTAGTTTTATTGAACGCCAAGAGTTGGGTAGTTTTATCGAACGAGAGCTTCAGCTAGTGAACGTTTCGTTTACCTCTGATTCTTCCTCAATCTCGGCGGCCGCTGCTTGCAGCAGGTCAAGCGCGGTATCGACGGTCATTGTGCCAGATTTATCGCCTGTGAGATGTACAGTTTTAAAAACGAATCTTTCCTTTCTGTTGAAATCATCCGAGAGAGACACACAGAGGACAACTTACGCATTTCGTCTATCTTATCCCTGACACTGCTGCACAATTGGTTGGCCTGTTCGCTCAGCTCCTTCAACTCCTGTTTGCCCTCTTCCAATTCAGGCTGCTTGGACAAGTTGAACTCCGCTAGAGACCTGTTGCTCGCCATTAGCATTTCCTTCTCGGTCTCGAGCTCCTTGAACTAACGTTTTATTACGTCAAGACGGTCTCTATTCTCGCGAGATGTCCTGCATTATCATAGATTCAATTGTAACAAGAGCGAGAAGAAGCTTATTTTTCACAGGAAAGGGTATATACTTGGAAATCCATGAATTTCATGGTTATAACCATTATATAACATTAGGTTTCCTCCGATTGCATTTTGTACTCTGTTAGAATTGGTATCCTATCTGCGTTGCCATCCTACCTGCTTTATATCCTTCACGATATCCTCGAATTTGCCGTCGTTATTTAACAATTCCTTCAGCTCATCGTTGTCCAGATGAGACAGCAAACCCAGTGCTGCGGGTATATCCGGTTCCTGGCTCGACTTGTACATCTCTTAAATGCTAACTTGCAACAGGATAGCGATCGTTGCTGTTTTCTTTTTTTAATCTAAAGGCAAAAATTCCGAGAAATGCGCATTTGCGATTGTTTGCGTCAACGCGTGATGACAGATTCACTTCAATTCACTCTGAAGTATGTGTACTCTGAAGTGGTTGTGAAGAGAGCAATTTGCAGTGCTATCTCGTGAGTCGGGACTCAAACTGCGTTAACAACAATAAATCGGAAGAATTTTGAAATTTTTTCTGTAAATATGCGATATCAATTTTTTTTGTTTAATTTTTTTTGAGTCTTCGATATGCGTCAAATGCGAACGTGATTTTGTTCCAAATAAATATATTGATGAAACATATGTCACTTAGCGAAGACTCGAACCTCATTTAGCGGAGACTCGAACCCAACTTAGCAGAGACTCGAACCATATTTTATTGATAGCGCGCATTCGAATATCGGATATCCCACTTAGCGGAGACTCAAACCCCACTTAGCGGAGACTCGAACCCCACTTATTGTTAGATATGAAATAACAATTATGAAATATTGTCTTAAATTTGTATGAAAATATTTTTTTTTCTTTAAATATATACATATTATGTAATAATAATTATAATTTATGTTGAGCAGTGCTGCCGCTGTGTGGCGAGACGCGCAATTATCTCACAGTGACCGGTGAGCTTTTCAAACGCGACTCGCAAGGAGAGCAGATCGATCCCCCGGTGCAATAACGACTGCCTTCCTGGACGCCTCAAGGGTTGCTTATTCTTCAATCTCGGACGACGCTGATTACGTCGAAGAGGAGACACGAAACATGGAGTCCGCGATCGGGAATCTCGAGGAGAGCGTGAGTACACTATTTTTTTTTTATGCGCAAGAGTTTATTCGCAATTCGGACGACGGATTCGGTCAGCGCTGTCTCCGTTGACGAAACGTCAGACGTTGCTGTGGCGTTATCGAATTCACCTTGATCTTCTCGTGCCACCAGGTGCAGAAAGCCGACGGGAAGCTGGACATGATCGCGTGGCAGATAGACGAATTCGAGAAGGCCTTCGAGGACCCGGAAGACAAGGTAAGGGAGTCCTCCGCTTTTCCGCTTTTATATCAGTAGTCAGATCACCACGTACCGAGCCTGTTCTTTTTAGCTGTACTTTCAATTAATTTAACTTGCTCAATACGAAACAAGTGTACAGGCTAACCTCTGGGAGGTTAATACCTTTATCAATTTTTAATTCCTCTAACAAATCAAATATCAAAAACTATACCTACCTAGCGAAAGTAAATTTCAAATTGTCAATTTATCAAAGAAAAGTTGACAGTTGACCTTGAGACTGTAGATTTACGAAAAATCTTTGATTTATGAAAAGGAGGGTGAAAAAAAAATTAAGTACAACTGAAAAGGACAAATGTATTATGTCATTTTTGTACAGTCCTCTGTGACAGTGTACTGAATAAATGATATGTTATATTTCGTTCATCGGACAATTCCTGCTTGAAGCCAGGATGATCCACTTAGCCTTACTTAAATCTGTGTGACATCACACGTTCATGAATTATATTCGTATTGCACTTGTCCTGTTGCGATGTTTTTTCGGATCTTCAATCATCAAAATCGCTTTTCATTTTTGTGCTTCCCAGATATCTGTGCTTCGCCTATTACACTCTGTCCATCAGGTTACGAAAGATTATCAGAATCTCCGTCAAGAAATTTTGGAGGTTCAACAGTTACAAAAACAGCTTTCCAATTCACTTAGAGCTCAGCTTACGCAGGTGCACGGACACTTTAATTTATTGCGCAATAAGATTGTAGGACAAAAATCGCCGCAGCTGAAATAAGAGCGAGAGATTCGTTATAATACGTTTCCAATATCTTTTTTTTTTTTTTCCTTAACAAGAGAACGCACGTCTTTTTTACGAGATGTGAGTTAAGAGTTTAAGTGTCACGTCCAGTGGGATTATGTTCACTTTCTGTTTGTTACACTTAGAAGTACAGCAAATTGTAGAAAACGGTGTGACCCACAATTCGGAGAAAAACACAAAGATTTGAGAGAATCAAAAAGCATTTTTTGCCACTTTCTGAAAGAGTCCTGTACCTTCTAGTACCTACAAAATTATAGTTTTTGTTATATTATTTTCTCGTTTATTATTTCTGAATATTAAGAACTTTAAAAATTGGAAATAGAAAATGGGGAGTAAAAGGGATGTGATCGACATTCTCCACTCCGTAGGGTATTATCGACAAATAACTTATTTGACTTCTGCCTTAAACGTGGCGATGGGGCCAATATATATATACATGCTGGTACATTGAGAACAATATTGAAATGACCTTTCGTATTAAATTCATGTTGTCTACATTACAGCCCCTGCCATTTGTTATTCGACGCGTTAAACAGAAAACGGACAATATGTAACGATATGTTTGATCTTTGAATGATGATATTTTAGTAGTGCATCAACTGAATGGCTAAAAAAATAACATTTGTGTATCTTTCATTATTCATTAGATTTATCTGTATATATATATTTCTACACCATTTTGAGGACAATGGCTACGAAAAAATTTATTTTTCCTCGTGTACGAATCGAAGCTCTGTGAGACACTGAGATTAGAGAATACAAGCTTAGCATGATATCTTTGTGCGAATCCACAATTTAGCTTTAGGTGACTTAGACATTTGCGCTTTCAGAATGTTGATTTTGACATCTCGGACAATTTCAGTACTCACTCGAAGGTCTGAGGCAACATAAATGATTACAGTGTAACATTCTATTATTATTCGATTGCTATTGATAATGTCCTATATTGCATACTTATGAGTTTACACATGATGCAACACGCATATATGTGACATTTACATCGATTTACATCGATTAAGGCCCATCGATTATACTTGTATCTGTAAAATTTTTATTTATTATTATTGTGATATAGAGTAAGTTAAACAGTTTATTGTAAAACAGGGACTGTTAATTTTTTTCCGGCACGAATTATTTTATACCATACACAGCTACAATTAGCATTTTTATCCTTACTTTATATAATACAAAAGATTAAGTTAAATTAAGAGTTAGTTAAATATGACAAATATGAATATTTTCGTATGTTTAATCAGAAATATAGAATATTTCTGTCATTTATATTTTTAGGTAAAATCCATTGACAGTGCAGAAAAAATTGTGAATAGGTTTAAAATTGGCAAACAATAATATATATTTATATGAATATTAATCCTGTTACATGTGGATTTTTTAACAGGCTATTTATTTCTCTTTGCATAAAATTAATAACTTTCGTCTGGCTGCAACTTGTACAATAAGATATACATATATATATATACGCATTATGAAAAGAAGTATTACTGACAACTATACAGAAGTTCCGAAAATATACTCTCACAGATTCCTGAATATATACAAACGCTTATGTGTTCCCAGCACGCGCTTAGTGTTCTTTCTTAAAATACATTAAAACACGGTGTTTTCAATATTTTCTAATTTACAGAAAATGAATGTAATATGAATGAAGAAATGAAGGAATACATGATGACAAATATATAAAATTAGCGTTGAAAAATCAAGAGATGGGAAACACTATTGCCTTAAAACATATGTAGACGCGCATTTTTAACACCTTGGAATTAGAGATATCTATATATAATTATACACGCTAAACTGTAACAACCTAACATATTTTCGAGAAGTCTGACGAACCAGTAAAAAGTATTTTCTCTTTTTCTTTCGTAGGAAATACTTCTGCATTATAAACCGTCTTATATCGAACACGAATATTGTAATGTGTGACTACTACTTATATTTAACAAATATTTATTATTAATCGATTCACTGTGCGGATTTAGTCTTAATGACGCTCTATCATCTCACCGATTGATAAACGGAATAATTTTATGTACGACGCAGCTTAAATTATCACGGATAGAGTGACTGAGTTTCATAATCGTAAATGTGTTGCATGCTAGTTACATATACACGCGCAACGGCATTGCGTATTTAAAGAAAAAATTGCTCGTTTTTTTTTTACACGCGCGTTCGATCCGTGTCTCGCAGGAAAACTCCTTCAAGTCAATACTATTACGTAGACCGAAAGAACATTGTGATACTCAGTGACTCGCACTATCTAAATATTCTAAATCGACTTCTTATATTGCGGTTAAGAACGTATCTAGCTCGGTGCATCGAAAATAGGGAGAGACGTTAACTTTTGCACTACGCTTATTAATTAATCGTAATATAAACAGTCGTATCGTCTTGTAGCTCTCATCCGAAATTAGATACATACCTATTACGAAATAGAGGAAGGGAGAAAATGTGTCCTTTATTAGCACTGTCAGACCAGAGTCTTACGTATTCGCTATTTTTCGCTTTAACGTACGTACAATTTAATTTGATACATATTGCCAATCTCTTCTGCAATGTAGATACACATGTACAACGCAATTTTCAATTGATCACATATACGCACACACTCAATTTTATCCCTCGATACGTATGACTTTGTTAAGACGTTAGATTAGCCTGTTATTCGTTAATATATACGTTAATATATAATATAGAATAGTTTTAAGAGAAAAATGGTCTGGAACACATTGAAAATGTGCCAAAATTTCGGTCAATTAATATAATAAACGCCATTCGATTCGCCGGAGACAAATTGCTCCAGATTTGTTTCTTTCCGAAATCTACATATCACACGTTTAAAATTCTTAAACGCGTATATCGCACCTTTTATTGGAAACATTCCCAAGATTCGTGGATGCCTTTAAGCAAAACAAGTTAATCTTGTACAAGCACTGTTTATTACAGGACGTGTATATCGCATGATTTCTTACAAGTTATGTAACTTAAAAAAGAACGAAAAGAACTTATTTTTTAATCTTAAAATCAAGCTTCAAAATATGTTTGCAACATAATCACATTAGATTAAAATTCTTCATACAATCGTATGATGAATTTAAACCTAATTTATATTTCAAACATATTTTAAAGCCTGACAAAAATTACTGCAGAAATTAGTTCTTTCCCCATTTTAGAAGCCATTTGGTTATTCATGATCATTTTTCCGTAAAATTAAAAATTATTTTTCAATAAACTGATATATAATATGTTTAAATATTCATTGCGTTCACTTATCATATTACGCGTCCCGTCCTAAAATAAACGCTTTGTACACACATATTTGCTAATTAACAATGCATACAGCCATTAAATTCGCTGCATGTTGCACGCATAGGTACTTGATACGTTATTCAATTTATTCATTAAAGTCACAAGTGCATTTATGTAATGGATATAAATTCTACAGTTACAATTCCAGTACCGTAAAAGGCAAGAGATATCGAAATCGACCCTAATGTTTGAATAGTATGTTTAAATGTATAAAATTCATTTATAATATTTTGAAATGAAAATGCTTACGAATAGAAGGTGACAAATATCATATTCTCAAGATATATTTTGGCCGTATAATAAATACATATTAATTTTGCAATATGAATTATAAATGCAGATTTATATTTATAATTATATGGTTTAACTTATAATTACTATAAGATTATTTAAACGAATTTTATTTAACTACTGAGATTTTTATCGTGCATGTGCTGGAATTGACTGTACGATTGCGATATCAAAATATTGAAATTTATCGGATTATTTAACAAATCTATTATACACAATTGCTCAAAATTTCGATGTATATTTACAATTCATGAGACGAAACCTGTATCTTTTTAGATATTTATCGTATTATTATTATGTAATAAATTGTTATCTCTAGCAATTCCCTGAGAGTTCATTATTGTTTATTACTACGATGCCAACACAATTATTGCGTTACATTCGAATAGGATAAGCGATATTTCTACGAAACTAGACGCATTTCTCTGAAGGAAAATCCGCAACTATCTCGCTCTGACGAGGGAAGCTGGACACACATTACTCGAAATGTCAGGTACGAGGTCAGATGAATCAAGAAGGGGCCTAATCAATTACTCATTTTCCCATACTAACGCCCACGGCGCTTCTCAAAGAGCTCGGACTATTTTGAACTTTACCTTGGGAAGAAGAAGATAGAAGGATGATGTGTAATGTGCGCTGGAGAAAAAAAAACCGCCTCAGAAGCCTTTCACTACGAAAAGCAAAAGCGTTCGCCCCGCTTACGTTCGTACGATTCATCAACCAGAGTGCGTGCATTCATGTTTTATAATAGATATAGACATGTGCTTGCTCCAGGGAACGCTGCGCACGCGAGAGATGTTGCGAGCTGGACTTGACCTCGTAGGTGGACCCGAGCGAGGACCGGTTATTCCGCGCGCGGATCAAGGAAAGGCCTCTCGAATAGGAGCGAAGGTTGTAGACCCTCGCCTACACGGCGGAATCCTCTCCTCGCGTTAGAACACCGATAGATATTCACGGCGGTTCAACAATGCGCATTCAATGCGAAGGCACTCGACGATCTTCCCGCTACGTTAAGCCCGATTGATGAATATTAATTGCCTGTTGCTGCATCGTAAACTTGACCAAATCCAACCACGCAGGAATCCCGAGCTTCCTCTGATGAATTATCGGCATTATAATTAACCGGGATATGTCCTGTGTGCGAAACGTCCCGGATGTCTTTATTAATTATATACAGCCTCTGGCTAATTTGGAGTGTGTCTCTTCTTGGCGGAAATGTCGAGGGAGGTTGTCATTAGCCGCTACTTTCTAGCTCTTAACATTATGAATTCGTGATAAAATTTTAAATTAAAATTCCTAATGACGCTTCTTTTCGCTAAGGAGGAGAGATCGGCGCCATATATATATATTAATCAGAAGATTAAAATTGTAATTTGCGGGACACTCCATATATCAGTCTGTAAAAGAGTTCCGAAGCACGCGTCTACTTTCCAAAATGTTTTAGTTCTCCAGCTCGGAGTTGATTGAACGGCGGGGAAAAAAAGTTTGTTGGCACTGGTCCCCGCGTATCGGATGTATTCCTTTCGAAGAGCGTGTCATTGGTGAACCGTGCGGATCTGCTCGTCGATTAGAAATTTATAGAAATCACTACAGAACGGATAATGTTGGCGAGAAGAATCCCCCCCCTCCCCCCTCGCGCGAGAGATTCACTTCCTTTCCAGAATATTTGCACTTCGGCCGTTACAGTGGGACGGCGTTTTCCGCTCAATTTCCATCGTTCTCGTGGGAAAGTATTCTTATTCCGATTGTAATACGGATGTATCCGCGCGGGACGATTCGCGTGTAACAACGTGCCTGCGCTGTGCAGCGAGGAGGCACAATTGCGGATTGCAATATTTATATTCCGTGCCGCTTGACAGCGCGTTTTAGACCTACCGGTGATAGAATACAGAAGCTGCAATTTTTCGAAAGTATAATAATTCATAGGTATAAAAATATGCATATTTGTATAAATATAATTTATATATTTTTAAAATTTTAAATTTTATTTTATATCATATTTTAGATATTAATGTATATTTTATAAATGTGACCGTTTTATGAATAATGTAGGTAAATCGCTAGCTTTTTCCCAGATGTATCGGATGTATCGAAAAAAAAGTATATACAGTAGTGTTCCCAGAGTCACTCATTTAAGTATTAACCGCGTCTAACGTTGTTTGATTTCAATAATTGCTCGTCGATTAAACGATTTCAATGTGGTTTGACCGGTGACAGAATTTACAGATAAATATTGGAATAAGTGTGATATATGGTGTAACTCACAGAAGATAATTTGAAAAATTGGAAATCATTGTCCACTACAAATCTTGCTCTCCGAGAATCACTTTGGCCGGGAACGTTGGATGGACCACTACATAGTGATGAAATTTCTGAACGCTACAAAAGCCGGAAGCGGATGTTCGAGAAGCGTATCGAGCGAGTCGTCGGCTGGAAACCGAAAGAGAGAATCCTGCGGAAGGGGCGATAGCGGTCTCGCGACGCGTCTGCCGATTTGTATCTTGCCCCTGCGGCGGCCGGTCTTGCCGCTTTGCTGACTTCGTCGCGTAGCGCGAGCTCCGGAAATTTTCCGTCCCGTTTCGAGCGACGTCCCGCGAAAGTGCAGCTCGAGACACGACGGATATACGGGCGCGTTTGCGTGCGCGAACGCTTTCGTTACGGCGACGTGACAGGAAGAGAAGTCCGTGAAAGGCACTGGTCTTTCGTCGAGAAATGGAAAGAGCCTCCTCGTCATTATTCCTATCCGCCTAACGGCCTAGACGCGTGAGATGCGTGTCAACTGAATGCTAATTATAGCCGGTATGTGTGTGAAAGATCCTAACGCATCCCGGCTAGGAATTGTACCAATGAAAGTGTTGTCTCTTGCCGTCTCTTCGAAAGATTTAGTCCAAAGCCGATATTTCAATAATTCGCCAATTTTAGATCTTCCTTCTAAGATCATCTTTTTTTTAGATTTGTTGAATATGACAGCCAATTTTTTTTCTTGATTCATTCTATAATTCCGTGGTTCCTTCCAGAGGAAGGAAGTAATCGATCGTCGAACCCTCGATTTTCACCGATGTTCCATCGAGCATGTCGACATGCCAGAGGCAGTTTCCAATTTATGCGGCTGGCGTGTTCCTGAGAATTTGATAACGAAATTTCATTTGCTGATGTTTAAATTTCAAAAGTAGCACTATTACAGTCTGTTAATTAGTAAGTTATTACAATATAACATATCTTAATAATGAATAATTCTAAGCATGATTTCTAAACATATCTTATACGTGTAGCGTGATGTGATTTCTAAATATAATTTCTAAGTATGTTAAAAAATATCTCTGACATAAATTGGCGGAAAAACAAAATTGAAGGAAATAGATAAATTAATCAAATTATAATCTCGTAATAATCGGACCGCATATAATGTATATTTGTAAAAAAGATTCCCGATATAAATGTCTAATAAGAAGTCTGCAAGACTTCTGAGGTCGCGGTGTCAAATGGCAACTTAAATTCATGAAGCTTTGAAAAGTCAAATTGCCTGGGATCTGTATCATCCTCGCCTCGCGTCGGAGCGTGCCGTGAATGTGGACGAACGCCCCGTTCTAATAACCTACTCCCACACCGCCGATCGGCCGGAGTGCTCGCTCGGTCGGTCGGTCCCCCGAGTCGAAGTCGGGTTCAGTCGTCTAGCGACCGGTTCCGAGGTCCGGGCCCTGTTCGCCGCACGGGTCTGACTCACTGCCGCGGCCGATGCGAGAGTAGTGCCGCGGGAAAGCAGGGCCTTCGCTTCTTTCGCACGAACAGGTAAGCACGAGGAATCGGAAACAGTCTATATCTGCTTATTAATAAGTTAGAAAAGTCATATATAGTTGAACGAAGGTCTAGAATGAAGTGACATTTTTGCTCACGCGTCGGGTTCTTCGCGGAATAAGCTATTCACTTATCACCGAATGACGAAACCAGACTATGCCTTTCACCTCTCGTTGCACAGTTATTTTATCTCTAAGAGCCTTAGTTTCATTCATTAATTTGTTGAGAAACAGCACTTCCGTTCTGGAAAAATTGAAAAGAATATTTATGAAATTTAAAATTTTAAATCGTATATCAATAAAAAGATGCATTAAATCATTAATAATTGTGGAAATGCTATAGAATTTCCTTCGCGCTTTTCTTTGTCCACAGATTCATATTCACACACATTATTTACTTTCATTGTCTCACAATGCTGGATTGTTTAAGTGTGATAAACAATAGTGTCTGATATATGTTCGTATACGTGAATAAGGAAAGCGATTTTATGACGGCCTAGTTTCTAGATTTGAAGATACGTTTGAAACTTAAAGAAAATTCGATGTCACTTCTATCCTGACTTTATTTTGTAATCGAATAATTTCAGAATTCAAAGCATCTTATTTATCTCATTTATACCTTATTTAAATCTGAGAGAAAAAATTTTCATGTCAAGGGTGTCTCGGGAGGCCGTCCACTTATTCATCGCAGCGTTTTAATATTTAATTACATTTCTAGGTATATTTATATTTTAAATTTATATTTCTTAAAGCATTTACGAGTAATGGAGTAGCGGGGTCGCGCGCGAATCAACATATATAAATGAATTAAAAGCCATTAAAAGCAGACTATTTAAATCGGAAACGAGAATTCTAACGCAAGAAATATCGCGTGAGGAGTCATAATTTATCTTTTTTTTTCTTTTTTAATCTCTAACTATTCATATTGTTCTTATCTCGATTGAATTTCTAGGTTCTTACCTTGACGAATATTTATCTCGCGGTATCTGGGATAACATACGCGTGGAGTGTCGGTGTAATAACCGGTTCAACTCTGGGCTCCTTCGTCATCGCGTCTCGCGTGCTCCTTCGCGTGCGGCTTTCGAATGCGGCATTTAAACCGCCAACTTTATGCGCCTTCGTGACTTCCTTCGGGCCTTGGTCCGCCGTTGAGACGGCGATATCGATTAAGTGGCAAGAGTTCACGCTTATACGTCCTAGCATAAAAATTCTACAACGCGTACTCCAAATGAACGTGGAAACTCCATTTGACCTTGATTAATGCTTGTTCTTGCGATCTCTAACGTGCGTCGCGCCGACGCGTTTCGTGTTCGCTAATCATTGTCGTTGTAATTCGCGTGTGCGTTTCTCCGTTACTTTTCGAGTAATGCTCGGTAGTATCGCGCGGTGAGAGAGAGGTCATCAAACCTTCGCTCGGTCATCTCCATACGTGGCTGTTCACCCGCGAATACGAATACGTTGTTGTAACCCTCGCTCTTTTGTTCGTAACAATGTTGGAGAAACGATAACGGTAAATTATTTGCTCTGTTTTCCCTGTAACATGTTTGAAATAATAACAGTAAATTAATTCGGCCTTGCTTTTGAAACAAATAATAGATTGATTTAATCAATCGTTATACGTATATCAGAACGTATAATATAAAAATGAAATAATAGCAATAAAAAAGAGCTTGCTATAAATGTGACAATTCCTAAGACGCGAAACAAATCGATGCGTAAGATATAATGAAATAAAATCTCAAGAGAAACGAGAGAAGGCATTCTTTCTCTCTCTTTCGGATGAAATGATTAGCATTAGCTTTAACAATGTTAACATAGCGTGAATCATTATTGGTGCGGATGCGTAACGATTCACGGCGCAACGGAAGAAAAATTTCGAATTCAAATGCGCGTTTGAGTGCACATACAAATCGCGTCACAGTTGCATTGCATTTGCGATGATCGTTTTGATCGGCATTTACCTGACGACACTCGACGATCTTTTACAGAGGCTGGCTCGTTTCGCGATCGAACATGCGTTTCCTCGTGCTTGGCCTGACATTAATCGTAAGCCTGCTAGTCGTTAGAAGGGTTTCTGCCCATGGAAGACTGATAGAGCCACCCTCGAGGGCCTCCATGTGGAGGTACGGCTTCGACACACCTCACGATTACAACGACCACGAGTGCTATTGCGGCGGATTCACCAGGCAGTGGCAGCGAAACAAAGGGAAATGCGGCATCTGCGGCGATCCCTGGGATTCTCCATCGGTGAGTCTTCTTGCAAAAAGAACGCTGTAAACAAATCGTAAATAAATACGAACGAATCATAAAACAGCACATAAAATTTTCTTATATAAGTCTGACTCTGGTCAGACTTATATAATAATAGGTAATAATCTCTTCAGACCGCTGTCCGTGCAATTATAATTTGGCAGCGAATTCTATTTGTTTTTTTTTTTAATAAAAATTAGAATTGTAATCTGTTTAATGTGCATACGCGCTACGCCAAAGATGGTCTCATCATTATATATATAAGTATTTCAATTAGATAAGCTATTTGTCACACGACATGGCCTGCATCGGCCTTGCCGATTTAATTGTAATGGCAATGGAAAGTCTACGAAGGTAGTTGTTCGCAAGTTAAAAATGATAATCCAGCTGCGCTACACGTACAATTACTTCCCAACATCCTTCTTGCAACACCGACCACACACCATTACGCGCGATTCTTCGCTCCGTTGACCGTGGAGGGCGTGGAGTACCATACAATACCGCCGTAATGTCGACATGTTTCCGAAAATTATGCAGTACAAACGTGGAAGGTCTGCTTGCTGGATCGATTTTTCTACCTTTAATTTAAATTTTATTTAATTTTAAATTTAGCGATTTAAATTTAAATGAAATTTAATAAATTTACATGGGAATTTACGGGGAAATTTATATGGTAAAAAAATGTCGCTTGAATGAGAAAACAATTGTCAAGCTCGAGACAAATGTCAAGTCGATGGAACAAGTAACATGATTAACGCGAAACAATTATTCGATTCGACTCGACGATTGTCGAGTGTCTAATTGTCGCAGCTCCCCGGGAAAACTTTCATCAGACATTTTCGTTCGGAAGAAAGTGACTATGCTAACAACATTTTCGATGCTATTATTAGACATTTGTTTCGTTTCTCCCTTTCTATCCCTAATGAAAGTGAGTGAAATGCACCTTCCTGCGAAGCGCGGTTTATTATCCAGAATTAAACGACGTGCAATGACTCGTGACACGCGAGAGAAAGATGTAATTACTCTCCTCGCTGCCTAATAACAGAACGGCTTTACAAGCGTGAACCGATTATTGATACGTTGTTTGCCTTAATGAATCGTGCACTCGAGCACGCAAAAGAAATTACGCATTTGAAAAAAAAAAAAAGTAAAAGGGAAATCCTTCAATAGAATCAATTTTGCAATTCTAATTCTTCATATCACGTGAATTAATATTCCATACGGAATTTTTCATCGAATTCTGTCGTATATTACAGATCGTCGAAAGTGAGCTTCAGTTAAGACAGAATGATAGACAAAATCCTGTTCCGGATTTAATCGCGAGTTAAATCATCGGATTACAGCATACAAGATTATAGACTTAGAATTTTGCTTTCACTTTGATTGTGCATAGCGTAGACTGCGGAATTCATGATTAAAAAAAAAAAAGAAGGAAAAGATGACGAAAAGACGGCGATTACTAATCGTGCCCATAGCTTTCGTGACCCGGTCTTCGTGTTCCTATAATCGGCCGATCGGACGTTTTCGTTGCGCGGCTTTTTATGCGGGATGCTGGCCTTGATATGTACGCTTGATATACGGACGAAAGTAGTCCGAAAGAGAAGTGAAATCCGTTTTCCTCTTTCTCTGTTTTGTCGATATTTGCATTTATTCCGTTTCTCGTTACACACACATGCAAACAATCTTCTAAAAGAGAAACAATCGTAATAATATAACATTAGTATTTATATAAAAAAGATGTATATAATGTATTAAGCATGAAAATAGGAATGTACTCTGGTTTATTCCATGTTATTTTATTTTTCAGCCACGTGTTCACGAGACGGGCGGCAAGTATGGGAACGGCGTGATCGTTCGGCGCTACCGGACCGGATCGGTCATACCGGTCCGCGTGGAGCTGACGGCGAATCATCACGGCTACTTCGAGTTCCGCACCTGCGCCATGACCTACCGTGACCGGGAGGTCACCCAGGAGTGCCTGGATAAGCACTTGCTGAGCGCCGAGAACGGATCCACCCGTTATTACCCTGGCCCCGGCAACCGGGTCTTCGAGGGCTACTACAAATTACCGGACGGTCTGACCTGCGCCCAATGCGTCTTCCAGTGGCGATACGTCGCCGGGAATAACTGGGGCGAATGCGGCAACGGCACAGGTATTCGCCGATTCTCCGATATTCAACCGTGGAATGCGTAAATGCAGCGTCGCTGCGCAAACTGCGGATACATGTCATGAATTACCCGAGCTTCGAAGAGATCGCCGGTTATCTGTTATTAAGCGCGTGACATAGGCTCTGGAAAACAAAACGAACGTATTGTCCGTTAAATTTATAACGGACCAAATAGTAACGGAGAATAGCGCTCAAAGTAGGTCAGAGTTCACATATGAAGGACGATCTGGGACACCTTATACGCGGCAATGACAGCATATAGATCTTTCCCACGAGATGTAAGAAAAGATGTACGATAAGATTATTTGCCGCGCCGTGAATAATCTAAAAACTTTTTTTTAAGACTTCTATCTTATATTTTTAACTTGTATATTTTAACTATATAACGTATATGTATGCGTGCTAACAATCAGAATAATCCTGCCATACATCATTAAGATTCTATCGGAGCGGTAGAAAGTGCTATTACTTTATCCTACATAATAAGAGTGACCCAAGAGTTGCAGCTCTTGTTGCATAACGTTGCCATTTGACTTCGTTTAGCAAGGCAAAGCGTGTCTAGTTTGCTTCATGTGTGAACTGTAACTGATACAATAATTCGTGATATGTTTTCATAAGGTTCAAATCCGAAACAATGTATTATGGAATAATGCTTATATAATATCTGTGTATATATAATTAAGTAAAATACCAGATAGAATTTCTCCGTCAGATTTTCACAAAATCACATGGATGTGTTTAGGAGCGGTGGGATGTGGGCCTCAGGAGGAATTTCGAGCGTGCGCCGACATCGTCATTGGTGATAACGAAGCGGCGTTACCGCCGAGGCTACCGAAGCAGCCGACCATCGCGCCCACGGACGGGCTGCCGACGGACGCGTTGCCGAAATCCGGGCCGTATTGGCTGTTCAGCGTTGTCATCGCTGGTACGTGCCTGTTGGTGGTGCTGGCTGCTATGGCGTTGCTTTACACGTACTACTATCACGCCGGTAGAGCCAAAAAGTGGCTCATGGCGAGGAGACTCCTGGCGCAGGAGAGTCCGCCGGTTGCCCCGCCGAGGCACAAAAGGCATCATCACGTATCGAACACGCAGCTTCAGCTGTAGAACTCTGTACTTAACTGTCAGTATCGCACCCCTGGAGAAAGAATAGAAGCTCGAAGGGATTCCCCGATCAATATGCGATATCGTCGTACGAGGTACATTTCGTCCTAAATTCTAGAGCCTGATGTTCAGACGTGAGATAAGACGCATAGATAGTGTTCAATCATGAAACAGACTGCATTTCAAGCGATATATCTTCATATACTCTCTCTCTCTTGTATATACATACATCAATAATTTTATATATACGTATTAAAAGTATTTATTTTATATAATCGTTTATCTCTTGTGATATATTTTTTCCTATATCTTAACATGAAATGAAAAGAAATTGATTTGTACGAACAATTTAGATTGACTAATACTAAATTAGTAATTGTGTATCTCTATGAATTGTGGCATCTCCAAAAACATAAAATCTTAAAAAAAAAACGTACATTTGCATATGTAAAAAAAAAAAATTTAAAAAGTAAAGTATTGATACATCCGCATACAGAATATATATGAAAGTTTTTAACGGAATTTTGTAGTCACCGCACATTTGATTTTTTTTTTTTAACAGCACATGTATATCAATATACATATATAACGCACTTTTGCCAGATGAATTTTTAACGGCAGAACTAATCACTGTAACAGTATTACTAACATATAAGTTTTTATGTTGATACGTAGCCGATATAAGTTTTAAAATCAATGCAATATCAATAGATCGAGAAAAAACATGATCGTACACAGCAAGTTATTTATTGAAAAACATATTCCTAAAATCCTGATTGCTCATCGACTGTGTACTACTGTCCGGCGCTGCACTGCCATTACTGCTACTCTTTTTAACATTACGGGGAACCATAGACAGCAGAGTCTTGGGCACGCCGAATGCCGTACGGCTCGTCGACGTTCCGCCTAGCGACTTCACCTGTTCCGCGTTTTCCTCCGTTTGGGTCCTCTTGCGCTCGGGCGGCTTGCTTATCGCAACGCTGATCACTCTGCCCTGAATCTTCGTACCGTCCGTGTTCAGAAGGGCTTTCGCAGCGGTCGCTTCATCGTGATACTCGACATAAGCCAATCCTTTCGAGTGCCCATTACGGTAAGTAACTAGGCGAACTTCCTTCAGTTCTCCGTGAACCTTAAATATCTCCTTCAGTTCCTCTTCCGTTGTCGTAAGTGGAAATCCTTAAACATAATATTGAATGTAGGAGTGATATTATCAGAAAATATTATTCTCTCTCGAAGAACTGGTCTAAGTAAACAGTAAGAAAATCCCGCAGAAAAACAGGAAAAATAATTCTATAATGTAATTCTAACTGCTGCCCTGAATCTTTTTTAATGGCGCATGTATATCAATATACATATATAACGTATTTTTGTCAGATAAATTTTCAACGGCGAAACTAATCACTGTAACAGTATTACTACCATATAAGTTTTTGCTGATTTGCATAAACATGTCTTACCTCTAACAAAGAGTTTGTTCTTTTCAAGCGTAGAGCTATATTTGAATACTGAACATCTGGTGTCCTTGTTAGAATCACATTTTGAAATGTACATAGGTCGTCCTTTCACAAGCGTCCTATCCAATTTCAAAGCTTCGTTCACAGTTTCCTGTAAAATAATAAGTTAAACGTTACATCCTTGAACGTTTCCAAATTTTAAAGACATGAAATTAAATGTTGCGATTATATAATTTATGCGTATATTTTCAACGATTATGTCTCTTCCTTTTTTTCGCGATTTTAAAAGTTTTCGTTTATCAAACAATAAAGTATACGTACTGCGCTACTTAATTGCACATAGCAGAATCCTTTGCTACGTCCCTTGTGATCCTTAATCATTCTGAATAATGTGATCGGTTCAATGGATTTTAGAGCATCTCTTACGTCGTCTTCGGTTGTGTTGTAATCTAAATTACTGATAAAAATGGTAATACTGTCGTCCATTTTGTGCTGACTGTCTCTATCGTCTGTGTCTTTATCCTCGATCGTTTTATAACCGGGCGGTGGTTCTGATTTCGATTTGTCTTGCTCATTCGTTGTTTTACCGTCAATATTCAAGGTACTTGCTCGTTTTGATTTCACTCGCACGTCCGTTTTCACGATTTTCGACGGCGAGCTTCCTAAATTTTTCCACTTACCGTCATCTGCCTTCCTCTTACTCGCCGCTTTCTTATCTTGCGCGGACGATTCGCTCTGCGAAAGAAGTTGCTGCGCCTTTTGTCTCTCTGCCACAACTTTATCGAGCCTCTCCTTCGTTCTCGCTTCACAGAATTCCATTTGCTCCAAAGTACCTTTATCACGCTCAAAATCTATCCACGAATTCGCTATACTTTCTGGCCAATCTTGCGTGGAACTCAAGGCTTTCTGATACAGTTTCCTTAGATGCTTGGAATCTCCGTAACATCTGCAATTGAATCAGAAAAATGCTTTAAAGAATAGGACAGAGTTAATAAAAATAAAAGGTTATTACATAGAAAATTCATCAATATTTAAATTACTTTTCTAGCACTATATATTCCAGCCAGTAGGAAGCTGTTGCAGAATGCTGCGAAAGAATATCAGCCCACAATTTTCTACTCTGCTCCATGTTATCCGCGTGTATCGCTTCAAATCTCGCCCAATATTGCAAGATAGCGCAACTGGGATCGCCGTCCAGGCCGAAATACTTCGCCAAGTGCTCGCACGCTCGGTTAAACGTTTTACGAATAACATCGAGATACTTGTCCCTCTCTTCACCGTCGTCAGGATATTGGTCGAGTCTGCGCCGCAGACATTCGAGATACGTAATCCACAGATTGCGATAGTCTTCCGCCGTTGGGAAATCAACGGACAAGGCGTTCTCCAATATCGTTTGTATTTCCGATATGCGTTTGTTCCATTCCTCGTACGATCGCATCCACTTTTGCCAAACTGTCGAGCACCAAGAAACGTTCCTCGACGCTCTCTGATAAATCGGATCCAGTACGCGCGCGAGCCTCGAGTCCTTTTCCAGATAAGTAATATAATCCAGCCAGATCGACATTTCTAAGCTTAGATCAGTTATTGCCCTCTCATACAGAATCGCAATGAGATCAAAGTTGTTTTGCTTTATGTACAATAAGTATCCTTTATAAGCGTCAAGCAGTTCACTTTGGCCTTGTGCAGAGATAAGCTTCTCCTCGTAAGGGAGGTACGATGCCAATTTTGCGGAATTCTGTTTGTAGCACTTCAAAATGGACTTCTCATCAGTTTCTACTTCCGTACCGTAGTTTGCGCACCACGACTGGTATTCCTCGTATGTTTTATCCATGTCCAAAAGAGGATTAGATAATTGACGTTTAAATAAACCGACGATGCGCTCCAATTGAGCCTTCTTCCTTTCATTTTCGGGATCGTCATCCTAGGCATATAAATTTAGAAATAAATATATAGAACACAAACAAGACATGTCAAATGGAAAACTTGTTTCCACTTTAGCTATTTCTACATATATTTCAAACTCTTACCGATGGCAATTGTGAAAGGAGTACTATGTTCTCATACTCGCGATACGCTTCCCATATTATCGCCCCCTTCGTGACGTGCATTCCGACGGCAGCCAGCGCACGTTCGAAGAGTCGGCGCACTTTCTCCTCATCCTTGCCCATGTATCCAATGCTGAACTGCAAATACTCCAACCACACTTCCACGGCTGAAAGCACATGTCGCAACGTTATTGATCAGCCTGTCTCTGACAGTCTCTGACAGTCCGACGATCCTGAGGCAATCGGGAAGGGAAAAAAACTTACATACGTAATCCTTGATAGCTCGCTCGCACAGTTCGACTATCTCAGCCTTCTGCTCGTCGGTGGTCGCCAGCTTGATCTCGTCGCTTATCCAAACGAGCCAGAGCTCGGGGCTGAGCGGATATATGTTGCTCATGTTGTTCCTGGCGGCTCGCAGACGGTCAAGCTCGCCCATCGCGTGCAATTTGTTGATCAGAGCCACATGGCTGGCGTAGTCATACGGATTCGTTGATAGGGAAGCTTCCAAGGACTTCGCCTCCGCCTCGTCGACGTCCTCGTCCTCGTCATCGTCATCCTCGTCGTCGTCGTCGTCGTCATCATCCTCATTCTGAATCTCCACCGATTCTTTGTCGGCTTTCTCCTCCGTCTCGCTCGTCACCATCTCCTCCTCGTCCAAGGCTCCCTCCGGTGAAACTTCCTCGTTCACGGCATCCATCTCCTCGTCCATTCTCCTCGCAATTTGAGCTAAACCGAGATGCTCTTGCAATCGGTCGCGGCTGAAGTCCGTTAAACTGCCACGATCAAAATATCACTCATCTGCCGCCACGACCCGGACGTCGAAGGTTAGGTTTTCGTGTTTTTATATCTTTTTCCCGGTTCTGTCCCTCGATCGCTGTCCGTTGTCGAGACACTCATTATCGACGAAGCAACTTACTCCCAAAAGTCCAGTTCACTTTTGTAAGATGTCGCTACTTGTTCGATCGCGAGCTGTCAACTCGCCCAGCTGTTACCCACGAGGATCGTTGCCATGGAAACTGAGGACGCCAAAACAAACTGTCAACTTGGGTTCCGCGTGACACAGGAGATTACGCTTGCGGCAGTAATTCCGTGACTCCGCGGCGAGAAAAACGAACGTAATTTAGAAATAATGCAGATGCATAGTTTAGAAATTTTGCATTGTTTGCCAAAAATAAAATAAATGATAAATAACAGGTGTATAAGTGCCGTAAACAGATCGCGCAGGAAAGTGTCTCCAAGTAAAACTCTTTCTTGTTTCTTTTATAATCGCGACGTATGTCTTCCTCTCACGTTGATTTCGTAACTGGATTCGCACAAAGCTCGCAAGACAAGACCGAGGAGGATTTCAGTCTCTGCTACGCGTATCCGGTGATCGACGATGATCGGGACACGAGCGAGGTGCTTACGAGGAGCAAGAGAGCCACGCGAGCGTCGGACGACAAACGCTCGTCGGTCGAGGACGGACTTTACGTCTCCGAGAATCCGTTCACCAATAAGCTAGTCAAGCCTTATCGGCTCGACGATGTCAAACCGCTGGACTATGAGTCGCTGCCGCGTTTCCGCGGGAAGCTCGTCGAGATCGCGGTGCGGGACGTCCGCGTTCACGCGCCGCGTGAGGAAAATCCGTCCGCCGGGACGACGACGACGACGACGCCCGAGATCGTCTCGGTTTCCCTGCTCTTCAGAGGCAAGTCGATATTTACGGCGAGCAGTCCGTTCAACCGTAAGCTGTACAAAGTGCTGATGAGAAATTCGGAACGCCACGATCTCTCGATACAGGTGCACGCGCGACACGGGACATCCAGTGTGCTTCCGCTGCCGTTGCCCCAGCGCAGCGTTAGGGACCACAAGGTGGAGATGGATTTCGCGATCGGCGGCGACTCGGGTAGAATATATGCCGGAACGGTCGTATGCACTGTTTCCCTGTCGACGTACGGCAGCAGCAGCAGCAGCAGCGAACCGGAACCGGAGGAGAGCGTCGCGTGCCTTTACAGACCGAGCAACGATCCGAACGATCCGCAGAACAGTCTCTCCTTATCGCGACCCCACAGACGTTCCATCGCCAGCAAGAAAGATGTCAAGTATTTTCTACTGACGGATCCGGCTCTGATTTTCGACGTCGCGGACGTCGGCGCGAGCATTCGCAAAGCGTCGCCGCGCGAATCGAAACCGCCGGACATCGTCGTGGCCGAGCAGTCCGCGTTCTCCCTGCTGGACATATCCCTGAAGAATCTGTTCCAAGCCAGCCGGCCCCTCAGGCCGTCGTCCAGCAACCGTAGGCATCACACCATAGGGAGAACGATCCTCGCCGTCACCGTTCTGCGCGGAGTGGAGGTGCCGGTGAGGGAGGAATCGGCGCTGGTCACTCCTCTGCTGGAGGTGGAATGGGGCAACGTCGTTCACACGACCGCGACGGCGGAGGGGCCCGCGCCCGTCTGGCAGCAGACCATGCACTTCGAGCTGCCCCGGCAGAACGGCGAGCACTGCGTGAAATTCCGCCTGTTCGACCAGCACCCCGTCTGGGGCCGGCAGTGGCTGGGCGAGGCGAGAATACCTCTGGAGAGCCACAGGAATTATCAGGAGCTCGAGCGCTGGATCGCCCTGTCCCCCCTGTTCAGTCCCGTACTGTCGTTCGGCTACGTGCAGGCCAGCCCGGGGCGCTCGCACACCCGGATCTACGTGCTGATGAAGATGGAGCAGCCCGGCAACGCCAAGACCCTGGAAGCTAACGCCCTCGATACTTTGTTAAAGGGGCTGCAACGCTGCCTGGCGACGCCTTACAGGATAGCCGGTGTAGAGACCCCCGACGACGCTGCGCGGCTCACCATGCTTCTGCCGTCCTTGCCGATGCACTACGGCCCGGTACCGCCGCGCCAGGCCTTAAACGTGAACAAGGTGGATCACTACGGCAGAGCGGCTTTGCTGGCGACGCTGCTGCAAGGTCTCGGTTTGCGGTCGTATGTACTGCTAGGTACGCGAACCACGGTATTTCATTATCTTGTCGATTGTATATGTACGTTTGATGTTTTATTCATGACGTATATTTGTGCGAGCCGCAGGTTCTTCGCAAATAAGCCGATGGACCGCGTTTGTTTTAAGCATCGAGGAAAACGACGTCGTCTTGTGGGATCCCGAAATCGGGGATCGTCATAAATTGAGCGACAGTCGTTGCTCGCTGATGAAAGTGTCCCGCTTGATCAATCACTCTGGCGTTAGTATATTCATTTTTCCAAGCAATTGCAAGTTCACGTTCTCTTTTCCATCTTTTTATTTTCACATGCCTTTTCTTGTTCCATAATTTTTTCCCCCGCCTTCATAATAGCCTCTCTATTGTAGATATGGGAAAACATGCAGAAGTCCGTTCTGCCTCACAATTTAAGATACAATGTGGCGGTTAGCAAAGATTGGCGGCCACTCGTGCCCGTCGTGCCCACATCGACCAGCAGTCGATCCATTCAGACAATGGAGCCGACGGTGCTGCAAATACCCGAGGAAGACGCGCAGGAGAAGGAAGGCGCGCCGGAAGTGGAGCAATACTTACGGGACAAATTGTCCGGCTGGCGCAGCGCTCTTGGTTTAACGACGATATTTAATCGTCACGCGGTCAGCGTTCTGCGAAACTTCGTCTCCGACATTCCGAGCGACGTGACGCGCCAGGTGGACAAGAGGGACCTGAAACAATTGTACAGAGCTTATCACACGCACGGCTTCCTCCTGAACCTGCGTCAGACCGCCCCTGACGAATTGGCGGAGCAAATAGCCGCCACGAAGATTCAGAATATCACGGGCCCCGTCGAGTTTGCTCTCGTTTGCCACGTACAACGGTACGTTGGCAAAACGTGCTCGATATGGTTGGCTCTAGCGATTTTACGAAGTCGTGGTTAATTGCTGTACTTAAAATTATACATTTCTTTCGTCGATGTGAAAATATTTGAGATTTAAAATTGCTAATTTTATTACGTATAAGGTATATATACAATAAAGGAAAAAAATTATTTTATACATGATATTTAATATCTAGCAGTTAAAAGTCAGCTGTTAATCCATAAGAAAACTTTATGAAAGATATTACTGATAGGACCAATAAATAATGTAAGCCGTGAAGAATTAACACAATGCATTTTCTTTGTTTTAAGCATTGCGCAGCAATGCCTTTTTTATAACAATTGCATCATCCGTTACATATAATAATGATATTTATATAAACACATTAACAATATCATGTAATAACCTAATTATCTAAGAGAAATATATTAGGAGGAAACACACGATCCCCGCGCAAATGAACATGATGATCCATTTCGTCGCAAATAACTGTCTTGTAATTTATTCAGTAATTGGTAGCTGCTGTAATTTTCGAGATAAGTAATACAAACGCACACGTACGCTGCAAGATGTAGAGCAGATTCACCAAATGATTTATAACGTGTAATAGAACAATCGCGATGAATGCTTTCTCTGCCGTATTTTTCTGGTTTTTTTTTCAGTAATACAAATTTTTTTTTATTACTATCATAATATATATCTTCATTGCGACGAAAGCATGGTCATTTGGTATGTATGTACATTACATATCTGAATTATTCGTTGTAGAAAAGCGTCGGTATAAAAACCTTCGTCTAATCGATCGATACTTCTTTTTTTTTATTTATTGAAATCTGTTACACTCGAAAACGAATAGAAATCTGATTATACTTGATATATTTTATACATTCAAATATATATATTATATTTGAACGTATGTAAAAGCGGGCGAACCTCCGTGTATCGCGTATCTCCCCGTTTCTGTGCGGATCAATCAGGAATATAACTGCGTGATAGGCTTCCCGAATTGGGACTTCTAAAGTATATTGATTCATGCTGTTGCAAAAACGGTTTGATCTCGAGTCAGTATCCTCGTATTATACGCACACACTCGCATACATTTCATTATCAAAATTTTCACAACTAAACTAATGGGTCGCATTGAAATTCGAGCGTTCTTGTTTCTTTCTAAGAGATGCAATTTTTCAACTTTTCTACGACAATCTTCCATTTTCAAAATTTTCGTTCATTCGCCCATAGAAAATCCCTCTCGCGTTTTTCTTCCCTCTCTCTTGTTTCCCTGACACGATCCGTTTATCTATTTTTATCTATACACACACACACATATACGCACATTTCCCTCCTACCGTTACGATTATTTCTCCGGATAATCTTACACTTAGGGAAAAACTTATTTGTCTATTTTCTGACTCCCCTTCCCCTCTCCCAAAAGAAAGATCATTTTTTCTGACAATATTTTGATATTTATCTGGATCCTCTCACACAATATGTAAATCCTTTCACTTCAGTCCAATACATATATATTTTTTTTTTTATTCATGTGCGAACTCTCATTCTTGCAGGCCCATCGCGCTAATCGCTACTAAACTCATTCGGTTCTAGACCACTTCTCCAGTGTATGTCCGTTAATATGTACAGTTGCTAGAATCAGCGTGACGTCCCCTCCCGCCGCGAATGTACAATTGCTGATCCGATAACTTTGAAATCACGGTGCTAATTTTCGCTTCGCGAAAGCACAAACCCGACAATGTTGCGGATTATATTAAGCGAGAAATCCATATGTTCTTTTCCCCCTTGCCTCTTTTTTTCGTTTTTATTTTTAGTTTTATTTTTTTTTTTTGTTTCATGCTAAACTACTCCTGTACGCGACCACGACAGCACATCCCGACGCCGATTAAATATCCGTGACTATTCCTCCTTCGTCGTGCGTCGCGAGTGCCGTGGATCGGGTCTCCCGACGGGAAGGAGACGCCCCCGAGGAGAATCGTCTCATTGGGTCTTCTTCTTAGCCGTCTCGTTCGTGTAGCCGTTCGCGTGTCCGTTCGCATGCCCGTTCGCGACCTTCCCGTTGCTGACCGCATCGTCGAGCTGCATACTCGACGCAGCCTTCTCGCGGGCGGCTCTTAGCCTCTCGAGTCGCTTCTCCGCGTACACCTGCTTACCCTGCAAACAAATTCGTTACAGTCATCGATAACGCGGACACGCGTGGTCCGGCGCGAGATAACGCGCTCGCCCCGGATCGCGCACGAAATTCGCATCTGACCTTCGCGATGTAGGCTTTGGCGTAGAAGTTCCCGAACAGGACGATGAAGGAGAGCATGTAGATCACGAGGGCGTACTGCATCCAGAGGGGGAAGTCGCAGCCCGACCGGATGCCGTTGACCCCCAGAACCAGAGCGGTCGTGAACTGGATGAGCTGGAGGATCGTCAAGTACTTCTTCCACCAGAGGTACTTGGTCACCGAAGGGCCTAACGCGGCGAGTCCGTAGTACGAGTACATCAGCACGTGGATGAAGCTGTTCACCATCGCTGGCAGGAAAGCTACGAGGGTACACGTAAATATAAAAATTCTTCCTCTTTTTCAGCATAAATTTCAATAATCTAAGAGACAGAGCATAATCAACTGGTTTTTACAATTAATTAATGTATAAAGCATACCGAAATTAATATTGAAATAAAACACTTACTGGATCCACTCGGCACCCATTTAATACCGATCCACCATAATGAGAACATGGTGGAATGATGATAGACGTGGAGGAAGCTCAACTGATTGTCCTTCTTCCGCAAAATGAAGAAAAACGTATCGCAAAATTCCAGAAGCTTGCTAAAGTAGTACCACCAAACCGCGTGAGCGATCTGAACACCAAAAAAAAACCGCAAATTTTTGAAAGGCTCTTTCTTATTCGCGTCGCGCGCGTTTGCATTTGACTTCAAATTTTTCTCTATTAATGAATAATTTATCCCAGATTGCAAACATGTTGTTTTTTACGATCTCTTGGAACATACGTTATTATTATACTAATAAGGTAATTTATCTGTTTTTAAAGAAACATTTTTAATATATTCTCCTATTTTTCAAATTGAAAAAGTGACATTTGTTTTTAATAGAAATTTTTTTAAGTTAAAATATAACACAAAAAGAGAGAAGAACGATCTTGAATATTTTATTTTTTCACCATAATGATAATCTCTTACCTGAAGCTCTTCGGGACGCGTGATGTGCCTTATCGGCTGACATACGTAACTATATCGTAACCTTGTGGATGCTACGAACAACTGCAAAGAATACAGAAAGATACCAGATAAGCGTTGGAAACCCACTTTCGAGTGAAAGTGACTGCATAGAGACATATAAGAAAAATGAAGGCAAGTTCCGTGATATTTTCCCACCATCGAGGACGGGAAATGAATATTCACCTGAACGGCAATGTAAGCATTGAGACTGGCCATGGCAAGGTTGTAAGGCACCAATGCCCATGTTAATTTGAAAGCTTTTCGTTTCCTCATGATCTTAGGGCCCGCCCAGACGATGAGAAGGTACAACATCGTGTATATTAACGTTGGTTTCGGCGAGTCAACCAATAACCACCCCCTCGATCTCTCATCTGAAAATCGTGTCATTCTTATAAAGATTTCGCGGTTTATTCGTTTATAACACTCAATTGTTTGATACAATTAATCAATTCCTATTATTTATAATTTATAAGTGATATATAATATACATATATAAATTTATAATTATATTGTATTAGAAATAAATTTATGTCGCCAAATGGAAATTAAAAAAATTATATGACATTACAAAAGACAGTATTTGTTTAAGAACACCGCGGATAAAATTTGTTTTATATCATATATTACATAATATTACATAATAATTAAATATTGTACGACATCACTGAAAATTTCTTATCTAATGGTCTAATATAATAGAAATTCTTTTATGGATTACCTGCGAGGGACAGCGTCCAGAGGTAGTAGTCGTACGCATCGTTGAAAAATTGTACTGTTGAATTAACGAGACTCGCCATCGCCTACAACACGATTAGACGACCTAGTTAACCTTCATGAACTTACATTTATATACAATGACATTCAGTCATTTTTGGCTTTAATTGTAAATCACTAACACACAAGTTGTTACATGTAATGTCGATTATTTCGTAACAAGTAATTAAATGAGACAGCGCTTTTATCGTAGCTTATCCTTTAGACTCTTAACTACATCGAAATTTTTAAATATAATAAAGCGTTATTACACATAATAGTTAAAATAATATCAAATTATATCAAATTTGAGTTATTTTTAATCATTCCTGTAAGTCGCCACTGCTCCTACTGAATATAATCATTATTTAATGTTTATAAATTAACTAAAACAATAGAGTTAAACAATTTAACTCAAGAAATGTGTTAAATTTAATATTAAGTTTATATTTACTAAATCCATAGTTTATATATGAAGCAATGCAACCACGAAGAAATTGGTTGATTATAGATAAAGTTGTTTTTTTTAACCACATATTTGATTAAAACAATACATTTTAATACACGTTGAAAATGACGAAATGTTAATTAATTCAAGGAATTGGGTTACAACTGCTCCTTTCATAATTAACAGGATAGTGCAAAATTTTTGTTCAATTTTATCGCTGATGTATATTTATTTTTACTGACTGAGCGAATCGAAACGCGCGATCAAAAATTGCCACATCGTGAAGAATAATCGGCACAACATTCCGATGTACGTACGATTGATTTATGAACAAAACATATCAAGTAAGCTTTGCCATTTTAATTATTTCCTAAATACCTCCTTCAAAAGTACATTTTTTAGTATATAATTGAACATGCAACCGAAAATATCACGTGTTCAGGGCAAATAAATCACTACGTTTACACGTACATAATTATTAAGATATTCCGAGAAATCGACACACACCGTCGATCAGTTAAACGAAACATGCTGTACTTGCATCAGCTCGCAATTAGTTCTTAATAGCTATTTCCTCGATGCACATCATCCGGTCGTTCACTCGCCGTATGTACCGCGGAACATAACTTTCACGCTCCGAAGAAACTATTACCGCTATCTCCCGAAGTCGCTATAAACGTGTCTCGACGCGAACAGTTGTTTCTTTCGGTATTTCTTATTTTTCTTTCTTTCTTTCCTTCTCAGCAACTTATTGTCAAGTAGACGATCCATCAACTAGCATATCCTTCGAGGAAAGTTACTTTCCTTGAGCGAGCGATTTCGCATCGAACTTGTGGCGTAATTGTTGCGATTTGGAAGCTACGCACCGCGTGTTTAAGAAGGCTACAAATTAGATTTGCTCCTCTCGATCTCTACTTTGGAATTCAGAATAATTGCTTCGCGGCACGATAAAGGAGATATCATCTTTCCGCCAAGATGAATCTCTTTGTTGCTTTTAGAAAAATGAGATGAGTATTTCAAAAATATCTTCTCAGAGAAAGACGACTGCAAAAAAAAAAATTACCGGAGTATCTTTTCTCCAGATGGGAGCCGAGAAACTTTCTGCAAAATTTTCGGAGGCCGTGAAAGTTGCGGCGTATAACAAATTGTTACTTCACTGCAACATATGATTTACGGGATTTGCTTATACATCATTACGCATATATGTCAGCAAATGCATTGTAAGGTATTCGCATGTGTATTGCAATCGTGCATTTCAATCCTGCATTTCGGAAGCATTAAGGACGTATCCAATTTTTTCTAAATATTGCGGCATCAAATCTTTAATATTAATTATTATTGCCGAAGGTTTCACATCCTCGGCGCAATTGAATTATTCAAAAATCTAAATTAAGCGTTGCTTATTACGTGAAAAAAGAAAATAATGAAACATTCTAATCTCCGAGATCTTCCCCTTTTTACATAGATGATAAATCGAGAGAGGATGTGAAAGCTCTTTAACAAATAACGGAGAAAATTGTACATTCTTGATTAAAGTCTAAGCATTTAAGTTCTCCCAATAACTCATGACGCAGCGTTTCTCCTTTTACACGCGAACCAAATCAGCGAAATATTAATGACAATGCTAATGATAATGACCTATTCATTGATATAAATGTGTAATCTGCATTGCGCAAATATTAATAACGGGAAAATGCGATTATTCATTTAATGTGATTACTTATAAGAATCTTTTTCGCAATATAATTATCAATACGGTTATTAAGTACCGTATGATACGTGACAATGTGAAAACTACACTTTCATTTGGAACGGAGAGACATAAACAGGTATAGATAGGCAGACGCGAACGGGAGAAATCTCTGAGATTTTTCGTTAAGGTATAACCTGATGATCTTCATTCAAGTGCATCTTGTTCAACAGACGTAGCTTCGCGAAGCGGACGAGCAATAAGTCGAATCTAGCGAAAGTTAAGCTTGTAATAAACGAATGTAAATACAAATCCGTATAATAATTCAATAAATCTGCAAGCTTGTTAATAGAAATTCTTTCTAAAATTTTTTTAGAAAGAAAAATGAAGAGCGAACGAGAGAGAACAACGTCTGTATAAAGATTTATTTATGATAAAGAGGATTTATTTTTAAGATTTTAAGATGAGAAAATTATAAATGTTAAAACAAATATCTCATTACATTAATGGAACATTTTTAAAAATATTATTAATATATATACATTTGTGCCAATTATAATTATAATTATTCATATTATAATTATTAATATGTTATAATTATAAATAATTATATTACAATGCAATTATATACGACATGCTTTTAATTTACTTGTTACTTTGAATAGTTTGAATATTTGAAGAATTGCAGTATGATTTATTTTATATATGTCAATCATATAAAATTTATAAATATTCCATCAATGTATATTGAACATTCAAAAATATATTCCCTTTAATTTTTATGTTTTGAAATATTTTTATCATTGTATGCAAAAATAAAACAACCTTGTTCTCTTATCTCATTACAAACGTAATATATATTTTAACATTATCTTGATAAGATATTTTTCAATGTTATTACTGATATTTCATTTAGCTATTCTTCATAAAAAATTGCGTAACTAACATGCCTACGCTTAAAACAAAATTAAAATATGTTTGCATTGCAAAATTATTAAATGCTTACCTAAAATTTTTAATAATTAACGAGTGGATTTGCTCAACAATTGCACCGTCGTAAATATTATATTTTTAATTTTTTTTAATATAACGAGTAGAATTAAAAGTCAAAAGTCAGTTAAAGTAAATTATTATCCATACAATACACGTACAATACTCTATTATAATAGAGGAAAGCAAGTGGTTCGTTATAAGATTATCTAAAGTTCTTAAAATAAAAAAATAATCACTTTATGTTACTTTACGTCACAACTTTGAGAAAAAATCCCGTTCCCGTAATTTACGTTTGTACACATATGATTTCCATTAGACTGATTGAGTGCAATCAGCGAAAAAACTTGCCGATCAAGTTTCCTATCGCGAAGTCGCCCCAACGCGGAGTAACCTCGACTTGAAGGAGAATCTTGTTCGCGAGGGACAGAAGAGATCATCTTACCTGACGCGGTTCTTTAGCTAAGGAAAAGAGTACCTTATGTCGCGAGTTCGGATCCTTGCTCTCCTCGTGCGTGCAACGGGGGCGTAGTAGTGTGGCGTGCCGGGATCGCGTCCGAAAGTATTACAACCGCACCCGCGACTCCACGTCAAAGTGACATGGCCCGACGACCGTGCGTCTCGAGAGGATGACACCGCCGCGAGAGGTGTCCGGCGGGGAAAAAAATGCCTCTCCTCTTCTTTTCACGAAAGCGGGAGACAAACCGTGGCACGTCGTGGTCGCTCGACAAAGTGGCAGCGCCGCGCACCAGCTTAGCCGGTCCGCTTTATAACTTTGGTGCCTTTAGTATTCTCCGCCACCCGGTGGCTTTGGTGGTGGTCGACCGGTACGTCGGAGGTGGTATCTTCTGCGAGCGTAAGCGATGTATAAACGCAAACGAGGCCAAAACCGCGGATCGTGGTGGGAATCGATCGTGGGGATAGATCAACCGAGTTCGGTCAAGGCGAAACGCGCGAGGTAGGATCGAGAATCTCCATCGGGATCCCACCCTCTGACCGTCGTCGTCAGTCTGCCCTCTCCTTCTCCTACTCTCCCTCCCTCCCACCCTTCCTGCCGATTTCGCGGATCTACGAAGTACGAGTGGCCACAACGGTCCACGGGGTTTCAGGTAGATTTCTACTTCCGTTCGCAGTTTCATGGAATCGAATCCATAAATGGTTTTCCATGTGCTTCTCAAAATAAAATGGATAAGGTATGTAAGAGTAAAAGAATGACTACACATTTTAGTTTTCACTTCTTTGAGCCATCCGCGAGTTCTTCTCTTGTCTTTCAAAGCTCCGACTTCTTGATTTTCAAAGCTCCGTATAATGAGTATTTTACTAATAATACTTGCTTAGTTCATTTGAATGTAATCTATTGCAATTATTAAATTAATTCGTCAAATATTTAAAGTAAAATACCTATAACTATTTGTATTTATTAAAAACGACTGTAATTTCATCTAATGTGACACAAAAAAATAATTATCTCAACGCTGTTTTTAGTTTTTAATGAAAGTTACGAATCGGTAAGAACAATATACATTTTAAAGAGGATATAATTCAACCGGTAAAATTCACGATTTCATCGTTTCATGTCTCTTCTTGTCTTGTCGTTGTCAAAATAAGTATATCAATTTAGCGATCGAATCATGTATGTAATAATCCTCTTAAAAAAAAAAGAGATCTCTCATCATCACAAATGTATATTGTGATTATGCTAATATATTGATTGGCATATTACAATCAATCATCGATTATTACACGTTTCATAATATTAAGAACGATGGATAAGCGAGATAACATCTCCGGAAGAATTCTTGCGAATAAAAATGTGTCGGAGCGATTCATCTCTCGGACTGATGGCGGAATGCCGTCATGTAGGTGCCACCGGCTACACGATGCTGTTGTAGCCTCGTTTTCCAGGCGAGAGCCGTACA